AAGGTTCTCCTAGTAGGTTGCAAGAATGCCAAAGATTCCTCTTGACAATGTGACTTTGCAGTTCCTCTTATCAAGAGGTGAAATATATGTCTCTACCCCTTGAATCTGGTCTTGGCCTCATGTCTTATTTGGGCCAACGGGACATTAGTAAATGTGATATAAGCAAAGGTTTGGTGATAGCTTGTGCATCAGGACTTTCATTGCTCACTGTGCTATGGAGCCACAACCACCCAGTGAAGAAGCCTGAGCTAGCCGACTGGAGGATGAGAGGCCGTGCGAGCAGAAGTGAATCATCTCAGTTGAAGCCATTCCTCAGATCAACCAGCCTGCCAACTTCAAGACACATGAGGGAAGACTCCTAGACTACACCCAGCCCCATTCAGGCTGATCCAGATCATAGAATTGCCCAGATGATCCACAAAATTGTGAGAAATGATAAATGTAATTTTAAGCCATAAAGTGTGGGAGTTTTTATGCAGCAAAAGTTAACTGAAACTCACTTTAAAGGAGATATGCCAAGGAGAAAAACACCCCTGCCCTCAAAAAACTAGTTCTCTGTCCACTGGGAAAGAATTACAGGTAACCCACTTAGTTGGTACCATTATAGGTCCTTATAAGGGCAGAGGGACACTAACTGCTCTGCAGTACTAAGCATGGCTTTCCACAGGTGGCGCCATTGAGCTGGATTTTGAGCAGAATTTGGATCTCCTGACACTGAATCTTGCCCTCCTTCCACTTCAATTTGCTTCCATCACAGTCCTGGGCCTTTTCTCATGTCTGAGCTTGGCTGGCTGCAGGAGCCAGCCAACCTGAATGAAACACTATCTCAACCTTCCACGTAGTGTTTGCTCCTTCCTCCCTAAAATCACTAAAATTGGAAAAGCACCCCGAAATAACCAAGTAGATATTATAGGCAGATCTATAATCTCAGGGGAGAGTTTTTCATCAAACTTACTGTAATTTATGGGAATGCCCTCATGCTTGTTTCTGCTTCCATTTTTTTTTTGATTTTTATTTATTCATGAGAAAGAGAGAGAGAGAGAGAGAGAGGCAGAGACACAGGCAGAGGGAGAAGCAGGCTCCATGCAGGGAACCTGATGTGGGACTCGATCCCAGGTCTCCAGGATCACGCCCTGGGCTGAAGGTGGCGCTAAACCACTGAGCCACCCGGGCTGCCCTCTGCTTCCATTTTAAGAGAATATTTGAAAAAGCCCTTTCCTACTTATTTTCAACCATGATCCTTCCTAAACGGCCTAGGAGAGATGTTGGAGGAGAGTGTCCACCCCAATTCCTAAATCCTGGTCTGCTCCTTTTGTATGTTGCTTTCTACCTGCTAGACTTCCAGAAGGTACTTCATGCGTACCAGCCCTGCTCAGGTGAGAGAAGGGCCAGCAGACCGCACCCAGATCCCATAGACTACAGAATACCTGCTGGGAGGGCACTCATAGGTTATGCAGTGGTCCACAGCCCACCTGGCCAGAGAGCTGGCTTATTTCCACCCTGCACTTCTCTGTTTCATCAACAAACCCAGAGCACTTCCACAGACTGGCTCAGTGCGTGGAAGAATGCTTTCCACGGCAAAGCATTCTTCCTCTCTATATGCTTGCCTCTCCCACCATCTTCCACCATCGCCCCAATCAGCCTTGCTAAGTTTAAGATTGTCCTCTCTGTTATTAAAAAATGGTCACTCGTTGTCCAGGGACAAGGCCCTACAGTGTAAGATGCTCAGGTCAATCTTACCATTTCAACTAATCTGGCTAAAATTCAATTTTGGAAAAAAAAATTTAGTAACATGGATGTAACCAAGAAAAGTAAGCGGGGGAGACTCATTAGTAATTGTCAGCAGCGCTAAAGAATACCAATTGCTAGAATTGTGCTTCAGTGGTGGGGATATTAAATCTTTTTTGTCTGGTACTGGTTTACACACACACACACACACACACACACACACACACACACCACAGAGGCCCTCCACCTTCTATCTCCCATCCCCACTGATTCTTTAACTTTTGGAGCTTGCTCTTGAATCAAGGAATCCTAGCAAAAATCCTTTCTTCCTTCCCTCACTGAGCACTTACTGTGTTTTGCTTGGGATTATCTCACCTAATCCTTAACCCTATGAGATATGTACTGTCGTTGTCCCTAGTTTTCAGATAAGGAAACAGGCTGAGAGATAGAAAGGAAGTTACTGATGATCAAACATGTAGTTGGGTTCAGGACTTACACAGCTGTATACCAACATCCCTCACTTTGTAGGGCCCAGGAGGGATCTCGAATGCTGATATGATCAAAGCAAAAAAGAGGAAAAACGTGTCCAGTGAAATAAGTCAGTCACGAAAAGACAAATAATGTTATTATCCCAGTTTTATGAGGTACCTGGAGGAGTCAGACTCTTAAAAATATAGAATGATGGGGGCAGGCTGGTGAGGGGAACACACAGCTGCTTAATGGGGACAGAGGTTCAGTTTTGCGAGAAGAAAAGAGGGCTGAAGACTGGTTACACAACGTTGGGGATTATTTTTTTTAAAGATTTTATTTATTCATGAGAGACATAGAGAGATAGGCAGAGACACAGGCAGAGGGAGAAGCAGGGGTCTCCAGGCTCACGCCCTGGGCAGAAGGTGGCGCTAAACTGCTGTGCCACCCAGGCTGCTCTGTTGGGATTATTTAACGTTACTGAACTGCACATTTAAAAATGGTTAAGATGCTAGATTTGATGTTATGTGGAACACAATTATTTTCCTTACACAGGAAGTTGGTAGTGGGATGTGTACAAGTGATGAAGCACATCCAAATGTTCACAGTCGTTTTCCCTAGATGGTGGTGACTCTCACCCTCTTGAGTTTTGTGTTGCTTTGCTTTAGAATGAGCGTGGCCTTGACTATAATCTCTCACTATCTAGTTTATTTGTTTTGTGTCATCTTCCTGCTTCCCACTAAAGTGTGGACTCCTTGAAAGTGTTCACTGCGAAGCCTGCAGTGCCTGATGTGGAGAGACAATCACTAGACAGTACTAAAGTGGTAAATAAATGCAGTGGTGGTGGGGGCAGGGGGATTCTTTTCAACTTGAGAAAAAAACCTTTGGGGCATCAGAGGAAGGAGAGGTCTCATTTGATGACATTCAGAGGAAGGAAGAGGCGCTTGGAGCAGATTTGACAGCAGTACTGAGTTGACGTGGGCAGCCTGTGGCTCCCATAATCTTCTTAAGTAGCCTATCTAAGACCATCCCAACTGAACGTGCAAGCCAAGATTGGTGTGCCCAGGCTTGCTCTGCAAAGGCATCTCCAAGACAAGGCTTGTGCACACTAACTCCATCCTTCCCATTATGTCAAAATTCTTGACGTTATCTTGATCCCTCCCCTTCCTCTATACCCCACACCACGTCCGTCCTTCAGCACATCCTCTTGGCTTTACTTTTTAAAAGTACCCAGACTTTGTGTGCTTCTCACCATCTCTTTAGCTACTGTGCTGGTCTAAACCACTGTTGACTGGCACCCAACTCATCACAGTGATGAGTTGCCTAATTATCTCCCCGCTTTGACCCTTGCCCTCCTTGAATTCGCTCCCAACCAAATGGCCCTGAGAGATCCTGTTAAAATTCAAGTCATGTCACTTCTCTTCTCAAACCCTTCACAATTTCCCATCCCAGAGTAAAAATTAAAGGCATTACAGTGGCCTATAAGATCCTGCCTATCCCGTTCCATCCCTCTTCCATTACTTCCACTTTCATTAACTGCACCACTAGGGTCACCATGTAATTTATCATTGAAACAAGGACACTTTTTGATAAGGAAAAGAGGCACTATTGGTGATTATGCCAGAGCAATAAAAACACACCAGCACAGTCCTGGGCAAACCAGACATGTGTCAACTCTGCTCATCTCCCCTCTCCTTTGTGCATGCTGAGCCAGCCACATGGCCTTATTGCCATTCCCAAAATACCCAGGCCCTCTTCTGCCTCAGGACCTTTGCACATACTGTTCCTTTGCTTTAAGTTTCTTACTCAAAACATACACGAGGCATGCTCCCTCATCCCAGTCAGCCCTTTACTCGGATGACAATTTCTCAGCGAGGCTCTCTCTGACCACCTCATCCAGGATTGCAACCCTTCCCCCACCAGCCAACACTTCCCATTCCCCTTTATTCCTTTATTTTTCTCTATAGTACTTATTACCAACTAACATAACTTGACATATCTGTTTATTATCTGTCTCCTCACCAGACTGTAATTCCATGAGTATAGAGATTACAGTAAGTTTCTACCCTAACGTATTCCCAGCAGGGAGAACTGTGCCTAGTATACTCAGGTACTCAAGAGATATTTCTTGAATAAATGATTTTTTAAAAAAGTTTACTTGCACTCACTTCCAAATAGGTACAGAACACATACCCTTCCTGTACCGGAATCCTGAGCAGATAACATTTGAACTGGGCCTTAAAAGGGCCTCTCTTCACTCCCACCCAGTGAGGGTGGTGGCTGGATCCACTATCGATTGGGCCACCCTGCATCCTGGGATTCTGCAGCACCTTATTGGCTGGGAAGCCTCCATTGTGAGGTAGCTGTGGCTTCCTCCTCGCGGAGGTAGGTGAGCACTGAGCCTGGTCCCACATCCAGGCACCAGGACCTGCAATCCCAGGGTGACTTCCTCCTCCCAGTCACACTGTTCACTTTGCCCTGTAGCACTTAGGGCTGAACTGGGAGGGACTGGAAGCCCAGGTAAGTCCTGGCTTATGGCCAACCAAATATAAGGGGCCCTGAGTGTCATGCTGAGACTCTCCTAAGTCCCCCAAAGCCAGGTGAGGCATAGCCAACATCAGCTTCCCCTGCCTCCAGCGCTTCACTGATTCGCACATCCGGGCTTCATTCTGGGTCAGGCATCGTTGGGAAACAGGAACCAGCATCTTGTGCCTGCAGCCCTGGTTTCTCTGGAGAAAAACCCATGGGAGGCTGGTTCAAGGTGGTTACAGGCCTTCACCCTGAGCTGCCACCAGCTACCCACCATGTTGAAGACGTCACTGCTTGGAAGAGACTTCAACAGTGAGCCCAGCCCCTTGGACAACAGGTCCAAGTCACTCTCGGAGAGTAGAGGCAGTGTTGCTTCAGAGAATGTCCATCCTACTGAAGAAGCCAACAGATTATCGTAAGTGGCCTCACTGCCCTTCCAGATCTGAGGTCAAGCGATGCTGCCCTCACAGCTCAGGCCACATCTGCCTACTTCTCTCTCCCTAACACTCTTAGGCCAACTGAACACATGTGTGGAGGAAAGATGAAAGCAGAATCTAAGAAGGTTGATCCGTGTGGCTCTGGGTATGACCCTTGTCTCCCAGTTTTTGCAGAGAATCCAAGCAGAGTAAGCCACCCAATGTTAGCTTGATTCTAGGATCAGTTTATTTTTTTTTTTTTTTTATAAATTAATTTTTATTGGTGTTTCGATTTACCAACTCAGAATAACACCCAGTGCTCATCCTGCTCAAGTGTACCTCAGTTGCCCTGTCACCATTCACCCCCCCCCCCAGCCTCCTCCCCCTCCACACCCTAGTTCATTTCCAGAAGTTTGAAGGATTTATGTTCTGTCTCCCTTTCTGTTATTTCTCACACGTTCTTCTCACTTCCCTTATATTCCCTTTCGCTATTATTCATATTCCCAAATGATGAGAATCATACACTGGTTTGTCCTTCTCCGGTTACTGTGGCCAAGTTCAAAAAGGGTGTTGCGAGTTCTTCTTGGGTTTTGATGGTATATTGTCTCACATTTAGATTCTTTCATCTGTTATGAGTTTATCTTGTGTATGGTGCAATGAGAGTGGTCAGTTTCATGCTTTCTGATGTGGATGTCCAATTTTCCAGCACCATTTATTGAAGAGACTGTCTTTCTTCTAGTGGATCGGTCTTTCCTCCTTTATCGGTATATTAGTTGAGATAAAGTTCAGGGTCCACTTCTGGGTTCTATGTCTGTTCATTTGATCTATTGTTCTGTTTTTGTGCCAGTACCACACTGTCTTGATGGAACACAGCTTTGTTGTACAACCTGAAATCTGCATTGTGATGCCCCCAGATATGTTTTCTTTTTTTAAAATTTCTGGCTGTTTGGGGTCTTTTCTGATTCCACACAAATCTTAAAAATAATTGTTCTAAGTCTTCTGAAGAAAGTGTGGTATTTTGATAGGATTGGCATTATCGTGTAAATTGCCTGGGTAACATTGACATTTTCACAATATTAATTCTGCCAATCATGAGCATGGAATATTTTTCCATTCTCTTTGTGTCTTCCTCAATTTCTTTCCAGAAGTTGTTCTGTAGTTTTTAGGGTATATTTGAGACCATTTGAATGGGAATGTTCATCCAACTTTTGATTTTCAGGTTGTAGGTGTCCTTGTTGTCTAAATTGAGTCTCTTGTAGGGGACAGCAAATAGATGGGTCTAGGAACAGTTTCTGATATTTATGTTGTTCTTCCATGGTTTCAGGCTCTTTCCACATCTGCTATTATTCATTCTCTCTCCCTCTCTCCCTCCTACAAACCCACCCAGGACACAGAAGGTCACCTCCTAGCCCCTTGACCCTACTTTAAACTCAGACACACAGAACTTTTTCTTAGAGCTTTACTGGCAATTTAACTATTATTTAGTAATCAGACCAAATAACATCCTTGGTCATAATGAGATTGTAAATGACAATACCCAGTGTGGATAAGGGTGTCAGGAAATGCTCTTGCTCGTCCTTCTAGGAAGAATTAAACTGGTACCTTTCCAGATGGCAATGTTGTATGTCAAATCCTAACACCTACTTATATAAAACATACAAATACTTACTTGGCATATGCTTCCTTTGAAAGTACACACACACACACACACACACACGCACTCATACACACACACACACACAGCTGGCAGCAGTGGCTGCTTTGGGGTAAGAGGATTGGGAGACAGAGAGGCAGGGAGGTTTATATTCACTACATAAGGGGTTTTGGTTCTTGTTTTTGTTTTACCTTTTGAATTTCATACTGTGTGTTACTTAGGTACTTTTTAAGTACAGATAAAAATAAATATATCCTTTGATCAATAAATACCACTTCTAGGAATTCTTCCTAATGAGCTATTAACACACATATTTGTGATAATTTTATTGAAGCACCAGTTATAATATGGATCATTTGGAAATAAGAAGATACTATCTGAATAAAGTATGGTACACACATACAGTAGAATATAATACAGCCATTACAAGTGGTGAAGGAAATCTGTTTGTGGAAAATGTGTGGGACACACCATTCATGAAGAAAATTAATTTAGGAAACAGTATAATAATGGTTCTGCATATGTGAAAGTGTGCACCTTTAAAAACAAACAGAAATGCCCAGAGGAATGCTAGTTCAAATGCTAACTATGGTTATTTCCAATTAGTAGAATTTTGGTATTTCATCTTACAATGGCAATGTATCATTTCTCAAGGAAAAATAATTTTAAAAAAAATCCCAACGTGTGTTTTACTATCCAAGGCCCTGATGTATAATGCTGTTATCTAGGGCACCTAGTTTCTCCAAAAGTTGGTCTCACCTTTTCAGATCAGAAAAGAGATCTGATTCAGCTTGGATAAGATGATGCTATAGGAAAGAACTAAGGAATGGAAGGACAGAGGGCAGGAAGGGGGGAGAAAGAGCATTATCTGTTGGAGAAATTACTAAGAAATTTGACAAAACATAAAACATAGTGTTTTGTTTTGTTTTGCTTTGACGTGTTTTCCAATAATTGCAATTATCAAGAAATGAAAGTTATAAAAATGGCCTCCTGTAAGTGAAGGGACAACAGGTACCCTCCTCCATCCTCAAATTAATGAAGATGTGAAGAGTCAGGGGGATGCCAAGGGCCTACCCTGTTGTCTCAGCAATTGTCTCAGTAATTTTTTTTCATTGTCCCTAAAATGCCAGGCAGTTAGTAGTCTCAATAAATATTATTTGAGTGAATTGGCTGTGAAAAAAAATCACTGGATGTGTTAATGCATAAACTGTTGGCAGGGAGTTATCCAGAATGGGAGGAATTGTTAATCTTTTCTTTAGAGCCTGTTGTGTGTTAAATATTTGTTGAGTCACCTAAACTAGCACCAGCCCTGGATCAGATGTTCCAGAGTCCACTTCACCTGGTTTTGTCCCTCTTCCCAAAAGACAGTGCTGGAGATGCTGGAAGGAACCTGAATTTTGGGTCACATTTCCCATCCACTAAGATACCCTCTTGTCTCCCTACTCTCCCCCTACAGGATCATGCAAACATTGGTCCATTTACTGAAATGCAACATTGGCACAGGACTCCTGGGACTTCCCTTGGCCATGAAAAATGCTGGCTTATTGGTAAGAGGGACCTGTGCAATGGAAACTAGGTATACCAATTTGGGGGAAAGCGGTAGTGGGCCCCTAAAGACTCTGCACTTTTATCAATGGACAACTGGGGTTACCCTCTGCGATAGGAAATGTGCCTCTTGGCATCAATCCCCTGGAGTCAGCCTGGAGTCCAATGGAGTGTTCCCAGAGGGGATAGGCCATTATTCTTTTCTCCCCCCAGTTTTATTGAGATATAAATGACATACAGTACCATATAAGTTTAAGGTGTACCACATAATGACTTGGTATTCATATATTGCAAAAGGATTACCACAGTAAGTTTGGTTAACATCCATCTCTTCGTGTACACATATAGATGTTATATATCATATAATTTGCAACGTCTAGGCGCATTATACAGCAGTATTAACTATGGTTCATCATGTTGTGTATTACCTCCCCAGTACCTGTTTATCTCATAACTGGAAGTTGGTACCTTTTGAACCCCTTCATCGAATGCCCCCCCACACTATACTTAAAGACCCACCATCCTCACACACTGGTACGTACCATCATCCTCCACACACCCAGACCATTTCATTCATGTACCTTCGCAGCCTACTCCCTGCAGACATATGCACACTGGCTCTTGTTTCAAACCAGGAGGTTGGCCGTGAGAAAGCAGCTGGAAAGAGGAAGATAGCAAACGCCTTGCCAGTCCACTGACACCTTGCATCATCCCACCTCTATCTCTTCGCATCTGCCATTTCTTCTCCCTTATTTCTTGTCTTTTGAAATCTGCCTCCTCCGTGAAACTTTACTGTTTCCTGCTAAAATCAATGCCATCTTCCCCTTGTGTTTTTCTAGAACTTATATCTACCTCACCTGGAATTCTTACAAAGAGAAGACATAATTTTTTAGTATACCTACTTTCCTCACTTACCTGAAAGCCCTGAGGGCAGGAACTCACTGATGTAGTCTTACATCTCCTCACAATAACTGCTATAGAGACTGACACACAGGAAGTTCCAATTCATGGCTATTGAATTGGTTGGATGCCAAATATATTATTTCCATTTAGGTGATGCTAATTTCTCCCTTTCTCCAGGCCTGGTAAGTGGGTTGCATGTCAAAGGAAGGCATATAAAGACTCTGGCTTCTTTTGACATGACTTCCAGCCTGTAACAGTTCCAACCTACAGATGAGACTCTCCCCCTTGAAATCATCAGAGTTCTAGAACTTCTGAAGAGTATTATTACCACATGGCCCTTAGCCAAACTGTCTATACCAGTGTGGTATATGCTATTGAAGATAAGCTCTGTTATCTTCTTATTTTTGCTTCTGAAGAGTCATTAGTGATTCCTCTGCCTTCCATCTCCCAGAGCTTCTGACCATGATTCATTTGAGAAATACATACCAGCACCTACTATGTGGATTCTTAGGTACTGGGAATATAGAAGTAAAGAAGATCAAAAGAAGTCTCTGTTAGATGGAGGCTATGTTCTAGTGAAATCTACAGGTGCTCTTCATCTCTCATTTGTTACATCAGGGCACATCTATAAAGGCACAAGTGTCCAGCACAGGAGAGGTGAGAGAGTCTCTCTTTATTCTATTCCCCCATGATCATATCTGAGATATTAGGATTACTAATGACCTCAGTTTTTTAATCTCATCACACAAATTAAAAAATGGAAACTATGTGAGGATAAGGTAGTTCTATTAACTTGACTGCAGTAGTCATTTCACTATGTATATGTGTGTCAAATTGTCATGTTTTACACCTTAAATATATGCAATCCTTAAATAGAAGGGTTAATGATGAATTAGATATACTAGAGCAATGATTTTCAACTGGGGACAATGTTGCACACATACCTCCCAGACATGAACAGTGTCTAGAGACGTGTCTAGAGATGAGCTGTCAGACTCATAGAGGGAGTGCCACTCACCTTGAGCAGAGATCAAGGAACATGCTAAACATCCTACAAGGCACAGGAAGGCCTCCACAATAAAGAAGCATCTGGTCCAAAATATCACTGATGCCCCCATTGGCAATTCTATGCTAGAGGAAGAGAAGTCCTAAAAGAAACCTTGGTCTTCGAGTATCTTGGAGGAGGTAAGGGCTAGGGTATGAGAAAAGGAACAAGGGATCTAGACGGCAGAACTCCAGGCAGATAAGGAAAAGCATGGATTATCTGTGGAGGTGGTGGGGTAGTCACAGGAAGTGTGCCAGCAGAGATTAGACAGCTGATTTGCAGTGATGCTAACTCCAAAGGCATTCAAACTAGAGTGTCTACGGCCACAAGGACATTCAGGCAAGGACCTCTATCCCAAAGGCAGCTTTATGATGAAAGGGACCATTGCACCCAGACGGGAAGAGGGCCAGTTATGGGAATGATCAGTGTATGGCTCACTGTCCCCACCTCTCTTTCCCCTCCAGGTGGGTCCTATCAGCCTGCTAGCCATTGGGATCCTCACTGTGCACTGCATGGTCATCCTGTTGAACTGTGCCCACCACCTCAGTCAGAGGTGAGAATCCTGCTTTCCTCTCTCCTCAGGGCCAGACCCCATCTGTGTTGAGTTTCCTTTGACCACTGACCCAATTAACCAGCCACTTCAACCCCCCCACACCTACTGCTCTAGATTCTACAGAGGTGGTAGAGAGGGTTAGACAATCCCAACTGGAAACTCCTATGTCTGGGCCTAACTCTGCTAACCTGCTGGATGACTTTGCCAAGTTCCTGCACCCTCTGCCTTAAATATCTGTACCTGGAAAGGTTAAAAGTGATAAAAGGGGGCAGCTCCAGTGGCCCGGCGGTTTAGCGCCGCCTTCAGCCCAGGGAGTGATCCTGGAGACCCGGGATCAAGTCCCATGTCAGGTTCCCTGCATGGAGCCTGCTTCTACCTCTGCCTGTGTCTCTGCCTCTCTCTGTGTGTCTCATGAATAAATAAATAAAATCTTTAAAAAAAAAAAAGGTGATAAAAGACGCAAGCATGCTTTATAAACTACCGAGAACATACAAGATATTTAGGATGTCCTTCCTTCCCTCTCATCTCCCCACACCCTCCCTCCCCCAACTCCAAAACACACACACCTTGTAGGGGTAATTTGTCCCAGGCAAATTCTTTCTGGGGCAAATTTAGTAAAAGCAAAAAAACATAGTTGAAATGAATAGTTCACAATGGCTCTAGTCATTAATAAAGCATCCATACAATACTTGGTGTTTACATATTTGAAACTGCCATGCAAAAAAAAAAAAATCCTGAAAGAGAAGACAAATGCAGTGAAGACAAACTTGTTGCGAGTTTCGTATTTATAAACCAACCAATTCGTGGGTGATTAGTAATTCCTTCTAGCCAACTGCCTGGTGGCTCTCTATCTGTAACACTTAGCTGCTCCAGAGGCATGCAAATCCAAAGGGGTCTTACAGATATGCATAAACTCCCCATTGGTCAAAGTAGAGACAGTAGCTGAAACTTCTCATAAAGCCAAATTATCAAACAGGTGGATCTGGAGTATCTCAGTCACACCCAACTTGCAGCACACTTTCCAGCTCGCAAAACTCTTTTAAGAGCATTTACTTATCCAACTATTAAATTTATCACACAATTACATGTGCCAGATACCTGGCCAGAGCTTTACAAGTGTTTAAGTAACAAGAGTTTACTCCTTACAGTAAACTTTTATGGCAGGTACTATTATTATCCCCAGCTTACACATGAGTAAACGGGGACCTGGGTGAATTAAATGCCTTGCTCAGGGTCACACTCTAGGAAGTGGCAGAGCCAGTATTCAAAGGCCTGTGGCACCCACTCCAACCATTCTGCAAATCCTGTTTCCCCTTAAGCCTACTGGGACAATTATATCACTTGTAGGTTTCTGATACCTAAGCCATTCATGATAAGTCTTTTCCTGATTTTTTAAAAGACTTTATTTACCTGAGAGAGAGAGAGAGAGCATGAGCAAGGGGGCAGGGGGACAGAGGGAGAAGCAGACTCCCCACAGAGCACAGAGCCTGATGCAAAGCTTGAACCCAGGACCTCAAGATCACAACCTGAGCCAAAGGCACTTAACCGACTGAGCCACTCGGGCACCCTTGATTTTTTTTTTTTTTGATGACTTGTTTTTCATTTTTTTCTAATATAGATGTTACAGACTGATGGTCTAAGAGCTTCACAGTTTTGTTTTGTTTTAAAGTTTTTTATTTATTTATCCACGAGAGACACAGAGAGAGAGAGAGAGAGAGGCAGAGGCCGAGGGAGAAGCAGGCTCCATGCAGGGAGCCCCACGTGGGACTCGATCCCCGGTCTTCAGGATCACGCCCTGGGCCGAAGGTGGCACTAAACCGCTGAGCCACCCGGGCTGCCCCAGTGTTTTTGTTTTGTTTTGTTTTATTCCATGTTTAAAAACCTAGAGATGTCACATTGGGAAAATAAACAACCAAACACCACCTTCTCCTTGCCAATTAGACTACCTGGCACCTCTATAGTGTCATTCCTTCATGGCTCTGGGAGAACCAAGTCCCAGTTGATCCCTTTTAGAATAGGATGTGCTCCAGGGGCCTGGCGCAGTCTTCACTCTCCTGCTTCTGTGGTATACCAGCCCTTCTCCCCAGGTTACTGATACCCGCCTGGCCCCACAGCTTTTGAATTTATAACCTTCAGACTAATAAATATGCCCCTCCTATGCAATGTGACCTCATTTATTTGGGAATACCAAGCACAATGAACCATAATAAAAATAGAAGGATTACGCCATGTTTCCAGCGCGTCTCTACATTCATTGGTCACTGTCTCCTCCCCTAAACCCAGACTGTAAAAAATAAATAAATAAGTAAAATAAATAACCCCAGACGTGTGTGAAAAACACTGGGACTCAGAAACCTAAAGAGACTTGTTCATGGCCTCTCAGCCATCTAAGGGGGAGGGGTGTTGGTTTTAAACCCAAGACCCAAGTCTGAATCTCCTTCTCTCTCCCAGCTACTCCCCTTAGTGGGGATCCATCCCCCGACTACCTGCTGCTGCTCCACTGCTCACAAGTGGTTCCTCTTCAGGCCCTTCCTGGTCCTTAGGAAGGGCCATCTAGGGCAGAGGCTGTGACTGGGATGTCACATCCTACACGGGTGCTGGGCAGAAACCTCAGTACCACATTTGCATGGGATCTGGTCTGAAGCAGGGATCTCAAATGTTCCAACACCCTCAGCAGTTGATCACTGGCTTGGCCATACCCACACCCCCTCTTCTCCTACTTCCTCCTCCCCCTGACTAGGTTTACACATCTCACACCTTTCATGACCCCGTTTTCCTGGTCTGCATGACCTAAGTCAATGCAAAGCTACTGTTTCCTTAAAAAACTTTTTTCACTTAAATAATAATGTTTAAGAAGACCACCACAAAAAAAGGGGGGAAAGGCAGTCTCCTCAAACTTTTAAAAGTGTATTTTAAGATAGCTTGCCAATACCATTGCTAGAAAATTTCTAGAATGCTTCATGTTAACACACAAATATATAATAATTACTCACTTTGGGAGTAAATTGTGCCTTTAACAAAAATGTTTTAAGTTACATGTTGCTTGTCCTTTCCCTAGATTGCAAAAGACTTTTGTGAACTATGGAGAGGCCATGATGTACAGCCTGGAAACCTGCCCAAATGCCTGGCTGAGGACCCACTCGGTGTGGGGCAGGTAGTATTTACTCATAGATGTCATAGTAGTAGTGGCAGGAGTAGTAAGATCAATAATAATCCTCACCTGATCCTCCTTTGTTCCGAGTTATGCAGGGTTAAGTGAATATGTTGTCATTACAAACTGTAGAGCAGTACAGAGAACCTCCTCTGATAGCTCCATCCCCACTTCATCCAATAAGTAACCAGTGATACCTAGTTAGTAAATATTCTTCTAGACTTTGTCTCTGCATATTCATGATAATGTGTGTGAGTGGAAATTTAGATTTCATTTTGCATTTTCCTGAACACTGGTTAGAATTTTTTCTGGAAATTTGCTCTTTCATCTAACAATGTGTCTAGTTTCCTTCCACACTTTCCAAAATTCCATGCCTGATTTTTTTTTCATTTGACAAAAATGTGCAATTTATTAGTTAGCTAGAGTCAAAATGCAATCACTAGATTTCCCCTTCTCTATTCATCTTACCAAGCACAATACAGAACAGCATGTTAGCCTGACTTTCTTCATGTGAGTCACTGTTTTGGCTTGGGTCAAAAAAAAAAAAACAGCTTGGGTCACTGTTTTGCCCGTAGAAGCCCCTTTCTTCATATCACAGTTCAGAGTGACAGAATTGGAATCTTTTTTCTCAGAATTACACATCACTGGCCATGGAATGACACATAGAATGATCCAACTGGTCCAGGTGGTAGAAAAGTTTCAAATTTATGCAAGGTCCCCCCCCCCATGCTGCTTTTCTATGTGAGATTGGTACATTGTATCCAGTGCTCCTGTGGGAGTCACCCCTCCAAAGATGATACATGTGTTTCCCCAAAGCCACAGGACAGTGCAGCCTGTGGGAGGTGCCCCAGTGAGACTTAGTTTCTGCTACTTCCGGTCACTTATGTCAGTGCAATCACATCGTCATAGAATCTGTCCCCTGCCAAGCCTCCATGGATGAAGAGCTTTGTCCCTGCTGCCACCACCACATGACCATGCCCGGGAGATTGGAAGTTTTCCTTTTTTTTAAAAAAAAAGTGTTTGTTTTTTTTTATGATAGTCACAGAGAGAGAGAGAGAGAGGCAGAGACACAGGCAGAGGGAGAAGCAGGCTCCATGCACCGGGAGCCTGATGTGGGATTCGATCCTGGGTCTCTAGGATCACGCCCTGGGCCAAAGGCAGGCACCAAACCACTGCGCCACCCAGGGATCCCTGATTGGAAGTTTTCCAAGTGTGTCTGTCTGTGACCAGGTCAGAGTGTTTGCATCAAACACATGCAGCTTCACATCCTGCATGGGCTGGGTGCCTCTCTTTCCACCCACAAAGATATACAACTGGTTTCCAATGGCTTCAGATGATGTGTGAATGGTCTTGGGAACAGTGGGGGATTGTTCACCTCTGGCATGGTCCCAAAGTCCTAGTTTCAGCATTCAGAATTTGTAGGCAATTTCAATTTCCTGACTAGTCATCACCTCCAAACACCCAGACGCTGTGAGGTGCATAAGAAAGAACAAAGCCGGCATGCTTGGAATGGGGCAAGAGGCCCTCCAAGGTGGCTAAATCCCGGATCTGGGGTGTGCACATCTGAGAAGCTCTTGTTTGGATCTGCTCCCCCAACAATGAAGACCTTGCCTCTCAGCACCACCTGCTGGGGGTTGATATGAACAGCTGTGACCAACCGGAGCACAGGATCTGTCTCCAGGGTGCAGGGTGTGTGCATGTGTAAAGGTGTTCCATATTGCTTTCCTAACTTGTCTCCAGGCAACTGGCAGCAGCTTCGTGGTGTCCTGTGGCAGCTTAGGATGGTCCTGGGCTTATCTGATTATTTGTGAAGGTTCAGGATGTTCCTCCGTGGGGACATGTGCCATGGTTTCATTCAAGCCTTCCCCTAATGAACATTCAGGCTGCTTCCTTTCGTGATAAAAAGTGCCTGGTATACAAGATGCCTTTCTTTGTCTTAGTGCCTCTGATCATATCTTCGACTTTGTAGATGGGCAGGGAGAGTCTTTATTGTCCTGGAAATATGAGATGACCAAAGCTCATAAGGAAAAAAATAACATGTCCACAAACAGATATAGGTAGCAGTTGCACAGAAATTCAACCCAAACCTAACATTTCAGCCTTTCTCAGCAGAGCCCTTCAGGAGGTAGTGAGTCAGTATTGTGACTGCCAAGATCCCTTCTGCAGCTCCTCTCTTGGGACTCTCAGTAGGTCATCGCTCTCTTGATCAGAAGTCACTCTGATTATCAGACAGGTGAGGTCATGAGGCAATAATAACGAATGACTCACAATTGTTCATCCTTTCCCACCAAAGTTTTTGTTTCTGATGACCCCTGAATAAAACTTTTGGGTAAGAAGGGTCTTTAGAGACCACCATATCCATGCTTATTCAATGGAGAAATGTAAAGCCCAGATAGGGCAATAAAGCTGCCCAGGGTTACACAGGAATTTAGTGACAGAGCAAGAGCTTGAATCTTGAACATCTAGCTCCCACTCATTATACTGTACCATTTTTCAAGAAGCTCAGTAACTGAAAAAGAGTTGGGAACATATTTTAAACAATGATTTGTAATTTTTAGTGTGCTAAGGGATACCTGGGAGCTTGATAAAGACAACAATCATCAATGGATGCTCAAGCCATTAGGCAAAAAGTCATTGGGAAACTTTATGAAGGAAGACAACACTGATGTCATCTGACCCCAGGTATTAATCTTAGTATCTCATGTCTAGACATGCGATAACCAGACGCAATGTGTCTTATGATGGGATACAGCAGGACAGCAGGGAGTATTGTTATCACTCAGGAAATATCCTTGCCAGAGAGATAAATAAAGAACCTCAATCTAGTCAAGCTTCTAGAACTAATATCAGTTTACAGGAAACACAGGGCATAGAGAAATGCATTAACTGACATTATGAGGAAGTCATCAACCAAATCTAGAAAGTGAGACACACTACAGGATAAATTATCTGGTATCTTCAACACCCTCCAAAAAGTTAAAAGTTGTAAGGGAAAAAAAAGAGAGCAAAGGGAATATAGCAGTTTTAAAAACTTAAGAGACATAACAACAAAACACAGAGTATAGACTTTAGAAACCAGCAGTAAAATATTTTTGGCATAAACCTCAGGTAATTCTGATGCAACTGGTCCAGCAACCCAACTTTGAAAACCACTGAACTAAAGTCTACGGCCATGTCACCCTGAACGCACCCAATCTCATCTCAACTGATCTAAGTAGAGGAACATATTTTGGTCCTTAAACAATAAATGCATCTTCAAATTTGAGATAATTGAAGAATCCAAAAGAATAATGACAATAATGGAGTATAATATACTAAATTTTCAAAGTTAATGTGAGTTTTTTTTGTGCGTGTGATACCAAAAAAGAGGAAGAATACATATTTTTTAAATGCCAAACAATAAATCTAGAAACAATTACAGGATTAGAAAACCATCACCCTGCAACCACAGATGAAATAACTGATTCAGACAAGGATCATCAATGAATGTTAAAATCCTTAGTTTGAGAGGACAGGATATTCATACTGTCTCAAAGCTTTACTTCCAGATTATAACAAGGGAAATGTGCATTGGCAATGGAGACAACTGACTGTCATCATCACAGTGGAGCCACAGGACCCCAGGGCCTCCCAATAAGATGGAAAAAGTACAAAATATCGCCTATGTGGTATGCTTGCCAAATATGCTTACCTGAATCTAAACATGAGGAAGCAGTCATCAAAGTCCACAATGTGGGACATTCTTTTTTTTTTCCTTAAGATTTTATTTATTTATTTATTTATTTATTTATTTATTTATTTATTTATTTATGAGACATACACACAAAGAGAGGCAGAGACATAGAGGAAGAAGCAGGGTCCCCTCAGGGAACCTGCGATGTGACTCAATCCTTGGACCCCAGGATCACGACCTGAGCCAAAGGCAGATGCATAACCATCCTGCCACTCAGGTGCCTCCAGTGTGGGACATTTCTATAGGACAGTTGGCCTAGATCCTTCCCCAAAAGCCAATGTCATGAAAAACCAAAAAATGTGGATATTCACAAGGCTGCTCTACATGGATAAAGACTAGAGACATAGTCACATGCAATATGTAAACCTTGATTAGATCCTAAATCCAAAAAATAAATAATAGCTATAAACGATGTTTTGGAGACAATTAGGTTATTTAAAATATGGACTACATATTTGAGGACATTGAAGTTGATATTCTGAATCTCATAGTCTTTTTTTTAATAAATTTATTTTTATTGGTGTTCAATTTGTCAACATACAGAATAACACCCAGTGCTCATCCCATCAAGTGCCCACCTCAGTGCCTGCCACCGAGTCACCCCACCCCCCACCCACCTCCCCTTCCACCACCCCTAGTTCGTTTCCCAGAGTTAGGAGTCTCTCATGTTCTGTCTCCCTTTCTTATATTTCCCACTTATTTTTTCTACTTTCCCCTTTATTCCCTTTCATTATTTTTTATATTCCCCAAATGAATGAGACCATATAATGTTTGTCCTTGTCCGATTGACTTACTTCACTCAGCATAATACCCTCCAGTTCCATCCATGTCAAAGCAAATGGTGGGTATTTGTCGTTTCTAATGGCTGAGTAATATTCCATTGTATACATAGACCACATCTTCTTTATCCATTCATCTTTCGATGGATACCGAGGCTCCTTCCACAGTTTGGCTATTGTGGACATTGCTGCTAGAAACATCGGGGTGCAGGTGTCCCGGCATTTCATTGCATCTGAATCTTTGGGGTAAATCCCCAGCAGTGCAATTGCTGGGTCGTAGGGCAGGTCTATTTTTAACTCTTTGAGGAACCTCCACACAGTTTTCCAGAGTGGCTGCACCAGTTCACATTCCCACCAACAGTGCAAGAGGGTTCCCTTTTCTCCGCATCCTCTCCAACATTTGTGGTTTCCTGCCTTGTTAATTTTCCCCATTCTCACTGGTGTGAGGTGGGATCTCATTGTGGTTTTGATTTGTATTTCCCTGATGGCAAGTGATGCAGAGCATTTTCTCATGTGCTTGTTGGCCATGTCTATGTCTTCCTCTGTGAGATTTCTCTTCATGTCTTTTGCCCATTTCATGATTGGATTGTTTATTTCTTTGCTGTTGAGTTTAATAAGTTCTGTATAGATCTTGGAAACTAGCCCTTTATCTGATAGGTCATTTGCAAATATCTTCTCCCATTCTGTAGGTTGTCTTTGAGTTTTGTTGACTGTATCCTTTGCTGTGCAAAAGCTTCTTATCTTGATGAAGTCCCAATAGTTCATTTTTGCTTTTGTTTCTCTTGCCTTCATGGATGTATCTTGCAAGAAGTTACTGTGGCCTAGTTCAAAAAGGGTGTTGCCTGTGTTCTCCTCTAGGATTTTGATGGAATCTTGTCTCACATTTAGATCTTTCATCCATTTTCAGCAAGAGAAAAAACAAGAACCATATGATCCTTTCAATAGATGCAGAGAAAGCATTTGACAAAATACTGAATCTCATAGTCTTAAAAGGGATATGCTGAGGGAGTTAAGGTTGAAGTATTATGATATCTGCAATTGACTTTCAAGTGGTTCTGAAAAAGAATGCATGTGTGTGTATGGATGAATACATACATTCACACACATACATATTTATATAATGCAGGTAGGGCCAAAAGTTAACAATTGGCATATTTAGTTAAAAGATATATGGATGTTAATTATACCGATTTTTTGGTTGTTTCTGTGGGCTTCAAAATTTTCAAACTAAAAAAAGCAAAGTATTAAAAAAATAACAGAAATAACCATTTCAAAATAAAAATAAATACATTTTTTAAAGTAATTTGTTTTCTCCCTCTGTCTCCTCTTTTCCTACTCAGGTATACTGTCAGCTTCTTATTAATTACCACCCAACTGGGATTCTGCAGCGTTTATTTTATGTTTATGGCAGACAACTTACAACAGGTAAAGAGGATTCTTCTGGGTAGAGTGGGAGAAAAGCAGACATCCCACTGCTAGGACTGCATTAGCAAAAGTGTAGTGTTCAGATCTTGGGAGGAGATGGTTTCATTTCTCATGCCTGATCAGACTACTTGGGAGTTCTCTCAGTCCTATAAATCACTTTTTAAAAATGTGTTTATTTATTTGAGAGAGAGTGAGAAACCAAGCATAAGCAGGGGGAGGAGCAGAAAGACAGGGAGAAGCAGACTCCCCGCTGAGCAGAGAGCCTCAAGTCAGGGATCCATCCCAGGACTCTGGGATCATGACCTGAGCCAAACAAAGGTGCCCCAAAAATAACTTTTTAAGAGGATTATTGAGAAGCCAAAGCAACATCTGAGGAATATAGCCAAGATGGAGAGAGAGGTTTGTAATCATGTCCAATCAGAAACAATTGGGAATTTTTAGCCTGAAAAGTGTTGGGTGAGATTCACTTCAGGTATCTCAGGGTTGTCACAGTGAAGATGACTAATTAAATGTAAGACAAACAAGCTGCAATCTTGCCCTCGTTGCGTTTCCGTGAGGCATAACGAATCAATCACAGTGTTCTTTCTTGGCTTCATGGAATAGAGGGAGCATAATTGGTTTTGTGCATTCAAACAACCAGAACTGTGGCAACTGTTGTAGATGAAATATTCAAGCAGATAGATTTTGCTCAGTATTTGAGCTTTCTAACTTTTAGGGCTATCTAAAGTTAAAGAAGATATTCTTGTGTAATCAACTTCCATTCTCCGAGTATATGAGAGGAAACCATTTGACGAGGAGGAAGAGGTTGGGTTAAATGACAAAAAGAGATCTTAAGATTCTAAGGGTTTCCTTTTGTCAAAGTCATGAGCACTACAGTTGGGGTTACCAGATTTGGCAAATAAAAATATATGCACTCGGGTAAGTTGGAATTTCAGATACACAAGAATTTTTTTTTCTATGAGTATGTCCTATGGAATATTTGGGACATACTTTACTAAAAAGTTACTTGTTAATTATCTGAACTAGAAACTCATGTGGGTATTTTGTATTTAATCTGACAACTCTGACTATGCTGCCCCTCGTTATGTCTATGTCAGATGGTGGAAGAAGCCCACATGACCTCCAACAACTGCCAGCCCAGGAAGATCCTGGCGCTGACCCCCATCCTGGACATCCGCTTCTACATGCTGACAATCCTGCCCTTCGTGGTCCTGTTGGTGTTTATCCAGAACCTCAGGATGCTGTCCATCTTCTCGACGCTGGCCAACATCACCACCCTGGGGAGCATGGCTCTGATCTTTGAGTATATCATACAGGTCTGTGCCTGAAATTGACTGCAGAAGGGGTTCTAGATACTAACCAGGGGAAAGATAGGATAGTATCATTACGGGCGGGTGAAGGTGAGAAAGGTGCCCTCCTCTGAGCAGCCTCTGCTAAGTGACATCTGTGAACACTTCTGCCCACAAGCCACAAAAGCTAGTCAACATCATCACCATCATCCTCATTGTCACACTGGATAGCAGTGAGTCAGCTGACAGTGAATACCTTCTGTGACGCAGGCATGGTGCAAAGCACTGGGATTCAGTGGTAGGTGAAACTGGTGGTGTATCTGCTCTCATGAAAGTCACATCCATTTGGGAGGATATACCTCACTAAAAACCAACAAAAATTACAATGGTGGTAGGTTGACAAGGGATCCACGTATGATAAAGACATTTTATTTACTTGGTGTCAAGTTCTTAACATATATTAACTCACTGAATCTTTACAGTGATACTATTTTATATATTTTATGTTTTGTAAGTACTACCCTTATCCTCAGTCTAAAGACAAGGAAACTGATGAACAGAAAAATTTGCCTCCCAGGCCCATGCTTTGCCATTATCACCACCCTGAAATTCTACCATTATAGCTTCATTTCTTTGAATCTGAAAATCTTTGGGGCTATATTAGTTTCCTATTGCTGATGTAGAAAATTATCACAAATCTAGCCATTTAAAATAACACAAATTTATCTTACATTTCTGGGTGTCTCACTGGGATAAAGTCGAGGTGCCAGCAGGGCTGGGTGTCTTTCTGGAAGCTTATGGGGAGAATCTGTTTTCTTGCCTACTCCAACTTCTAGATGCCACCTGCATGCCTTGGCTTATGGTCCCCTTCCATCTCCAAAGTCAGCAATATAAGGCTCAGCCTTCCATTGAGATGCCACCCTCTCTCTAGTTCTGTCTTCCAATTCCCTCTTCCACTTTTAAAGACCCTTGTTATTACATTGGATCCACCCAGGTAACCCAGGATAGTCTCCTTATTTTAAGGTATGCTGCTTAGCAACCTTAATTCAGGCTGAAAACTTAATTCTCCCTTGTGATATAACATAACATATTCACGGATTCCAGGGACTAGGACATGGATATCTTGGGAAAAGAGCCATTATTCTGCCCACCACAGGAAGTCTCTTAAATTAATTATCCTCTCTGCATCCACACCAGCTACTAGACTGTAGGACTCTGGGGGAAGTGATGAGAAAGAGGCTTTGGAGAATGAGAAGACAGGAGACCTGAATTCTCACTCAGGCTGTGCCACTAACTTGCAGAGAAGCCTTGGGCAACTCCCTTCTCCTCCCTGGGTCCCACTTCCCCCACATGTAAAAATGTGGGAAATCACAATGTGGTAAATACATGCAATGCATTCCTTAAGAAGGAATGAACTCCTGATCCACACTACAATATGGTTGAAGCTTAAAAACATTATGCTCAGAGAAATAAGCCAGTCACAAAAGGACAGGTATTATATGATTTCACTTATATGAGATAATGTGGGGTAGTCAAATTCATGGAAATGTAGAATAGGGGTGACCAGGAGCTGGGTAATGAGTTATTCTTTCACAAATACAAAGCTTCGATTTGGGAGGATGAAAAAGCTCTGGAGGTGGGTGGTGGTGAGGGTTGTACATCAGTGAAAATGCTCTCAACACCATTGAGCTGTACACTTAAAAATGTTTAAAATGGTAAACTTTAGGCTATGTATAATTTATATGTATATGTAATTAGACTATGTATAATTTACCACAATAAATAAATAACTTTAAAAATTTTTTAAGATTTATTTATTTATTTGAGAGAGAGAGAGAGAGAGAGAGAGCATGAGTGGGGGAAGGGCAGAGGGAGACAAATTCTCAAGCAGACTCCCCACTGAGTGCTGAGCCCAATGATGGGATGGTGACAGGGCTCCATTACAGGACCCTGAGATCATGACCTAAGCCAAAATCAAGAGTCAGATACTTAACTGATGGAGGCACCCAGGTGCCTCAAGAACTTTTTTAAAGATAAGAAGGCTGATTTGGCTCTAGCTATCTCACAGGTGCTCCTGATAGTGTCTCTGTTGATGGCAGATGTGGCCCAGCTTTCTACCAGGCAAAGTTGGAGGATGACTCCTATGCCATGGCAAAACCAATGCCCTTCTTCTACTCCCTTTCAGGAGATTCCGGATCCCAGTAGCCTCCCCTTGATGGCGAGCTGGAAGACATTCTTACTGTTCTTTGGTACAGCCATTTTCACATTTGAAGGCGTCGGTATGGTAAGATGGACATGAGGTTTGCGAGAATGGTCCCGGGTGCCCTCTGGGGAAGCCAGCCATTCCAGAAGTCTTAAAGTATTTATGAAAAGTGCTCCTATGATCTGCTCCTGCTGGAAGGGAAAATTAGGACCCATCCACTGGGTCACCAACCTCTCCATGCACCACACTAAGCCTTGAAGCCTGAGTGCAAATATACTCATTAGCCCAGGCCGAGTAGGGCACTACTGGCAATAGAGTGGAAGCAAATAGAAAGAAGTGTGGCCCTTCCTGACCCTGGGCCACCCAAAGAAAAAAGTTTGTACCCGTAGGGGAAACCTGATCCTTCATGAGGAGCCATGCTTCTGACTCTTCTTTCTCAATCTCCTTTCACTTTTAGGTTCTGCCTCTCAAAAATCAGATGAAGCATCCACAACACTTTTCTTTTGTGCTGTACTTGGGGATGTCCCTTGTCATCATCCTCTACATCTGCCTGGGGACACTGGGCTATATGAAGTTTGGGTCCAGTACCCAGGCCAGCATCACCCTCAACTTACCCAATTGCTGGTATGTCCTTGCCTGCCTGGGGTGATGCGAGGGGAGCAGAGTCCTAGGATCTCAGCCTTAGCAACAGAATGTGGCATTCCTTCGGGTTGTCACTAACACCATATATTAACTGCCAGTGTTCGTATGATGATAACAGGTAGGTTTGACAATCCAGGCATTGTGCATTATCTGGTTAAGCCCTCATAATAGCCCTATGAGTTAGCATGATTATTATGAAATCCATTCCCTAGATGAGGAAGTTGCTGTTTGGAGTGACCACATGGAACCTTCCCAGCTCACTGTTTGTGATATTTGACACTGAATCTGTCTGACTCTATGGTTTAAAGACCCTAACACAGAATGATCTGGGAGTGTTTAGGAAGCACAAATAGCAACAATAAAAAGTATAATTCCAGAATAATGCTTGAGGGTCCCACAGATGGACCATTAGTCAGGCCTCCAGTTCCAGAAATGGACTATATATATATATAGCTTAGAAAAGTGTCTGACACAGGGGTGCCTGGGTGACTCAGTTGGTTAAACATCTACCTCTTGATCTCAACTCAGGTCTTGATCTCAAGGTCATGCATGACTTCAAGTCCCACGTTGGGCTCCATGTTGGGTGTAGAGACTACTTAGAAAAGAAAAGTGCCTGGCACATAGTAAATACTAGTCAAGTATTAGCTATTGCCATTGTTATATCTCCCCACAGCCTGTTCCTTCAGAGGTGAGTAGAATGGTAGGGCATTCATTTCCCACAAGGCCACAGCTAATAAAATGAGAAAAATACCACCAGCCCCACCTACCTCATTGTGTTGTGATAATGACTAGGTGGGGTAATAATGTGATTTCTTTAAAGTCAAGATAATCATTCTAATATGCTATTTCTATTCCGGGCCATTCAGGCTGCCACTGGCTACCCTGGACAAGGCACTTTCCTTGTGTGGGCCTCAGCTAGAAAACAGGCATCAGGTGCCATGAGAACTTCACATCTGCTCTGAACCGGGCTGGCCATCAAATTTCCCAGAGGAGTCTTAGACAAATACCTCTTCCCATTAAGAAAAGGACCAACAACCCAAGAAAAAAAATGGGCATGTGCACACAGTTCACAGGCGAATTTTTAAAATGGCATTTTATATGTTTGAAAAGATAGAAATGCCAGAAAAAAACAGAATGGCAAAGACTAGCATACATTCACACATTGTGTTTTGACAAGGATATGGGGAAGCAAGCATTCCAATACACCAGGACAACAAAGGGGCAATATGTTAATAGCTATCCAAAATTAAAATCACATATACTTTTAGCCAGCACTTTCACCTCTCATGATGTATGCTAAATGTGCATAGATAAGTATGTAGCAGGATATATTTTGCAGCATTGTTTATTAGTGAAAGACTAGTAAATATCCATTAGCTGGGCCAAAAACATTATAGTGATCTATGTTATTAGAATACCAAGCATCTATTAAATAGAAGAGCCAAGTCTATGTGTACTTACAGGAAACATTCTCCAATATATATTTAATGAACAAAAACGGAGCTCAGTGGTGTGTAGAGGATGCTACCGTGTGTGTGTGCGTGCGTGTAGGTATACCTACATCAGGTATAAGCTTTTATGTGCACTGATTATTTCTGAAAGGGCTACAAGAAAACTGTTCGAGGAACTGCCTATGGAAAGAAGAACTGGAGGCTGGAGATTGAGTGTGGAAGGGAAGCTTTTTACTATATGACTTTTGAACTAGCAATTTTACTCTAAACAAATATACCTTTTTTTAATTTTTTTATTTATGATAGTCACACACAGAGAGAGAGAGAAAGAGAGAGAGGCAGAGACACAGGCAGAGGGATAAGCAGGCTCCATGCACCGGGAGCCCGACGTGGGATTCGATCCTGGGTCTCCAGGATCATGCCCTGGGCCAAAGGCAGGCGCCAAACCACTGTGCCACCCAGGGATCCCCCAAATATACCTTTTTAAGAAAGTAAAAGAATTAAAGGTACAGACACCTGAGCCACAGGCTATTGAATCAGAATTTTCAGGAATGTGCACTTTTAATGAGCTTCCCAGATGGCTCTGATGGCAGGTCAGGCCTGAGCCAGTTCTGTAACTGGGTGACAAGTACCAGCTTCTGAGCAATGAGTGAGTCCTGAATGGCCCTGCCCAGAAGTTACATCAAATGTCATATCCTATCCATCTGTCTGCAGGCTGTACCAGTCGGTCAAGCTGATGTACTCCATTGGCATCTTCTTCACCTACGCCCTCCAGTTCCACGTCCCAGCTGAGATCATCATCCCCTTCGTCATCTCCCAGGTGTCAGAGAGCTGGACACTGTTAATAGACCTGTCTGTCCGCACAGCCTTGGTCTGTCTGACCTGTGAGTAGAATATAAGGGCACTCTTTGCCCAAAGCTGTGGTTGTGAGTCACATTGGCGTCTACCCCAGTATCCTTGACTCTGCCACTTACCTTCTTTGTGACCTTGAGCAAGATAGTTCACCTCCCTGCACCTCAACTTTCCACCTTTCAGGTGTTAAGGGGGCTTAACAGAATGATCACATGTTGCAATCGTCTCTACTGTCTACACGTGGAAAGTATCCATTGGCTGATTTATGGGAGAAAGAAGTAGCATTCATTCACTCACACTCCTATGTTCCTGCTAGAGGCCAGGCACCATACTGACATTGCCTTATACTCGTGACAGCCTAGCAACATAATGTTACCAACTGGAGGAACTATGGCCTAGAGAATTTAAGTAACACACTCAAATCATACAGCTGCTAAGTGACAGAGCTGGGATTTGAACACAGGTTCTATAGCACCTAAGCCTGTCTTCTTCTATCATGTGCCATATTCCTTCCTATTATAAATTAAGATCATGTCCCTTATCATAAAGTGGCATTGAACTATAGGAGCAAACAAGGGGCTGATTGTTAGTCTTGGAGATCATTTTTTGGGTGCAATATTTACTCTTCTCCTCCTTCCATCTTCCTTTCTTAATGTTTCCTTCCAGTCATTGCTTCACTCATTCATTCTACTTTAGGCACTGTTGTAGATGTTTGGGAAACATCATGAGCGGGGCTGGGGAATTTTTTTCTCTGAAGCAAATCAGAAATGGTGCCCCATGAGGAAAGGGGGAAAATCTAGGGATGTTTTTCTTGGAGAAATGAAGGCTTGGGAACTTCTATATCTGTCTTTAAACACCTGTGAGATAACACACGAGAGAGAGAGAATTTGGTTTTAGAGACTCTTAGTTTAAAGTTGAGGAAATGCAGTTTCAGTTCAGAGTCAGAAGAAACTGTAATTCTTGGAGGCTTCCAGAAGAAGAACATGCTTTCAGATGTTCACATAGATGGAGTTCTAGAAGCAGAAGCAGCACATTTGATGGTTTAAGGTATCACAGAATTTCCAGTCTGTACCAAGACATTAGGGACCTGTGGCTATATTGTTTTGAGATCATTCCTAATAGGAAGGGTCTAAGTTGAGAAAAACTGAGTAGTTCAGGCCACTTAAGATCAGGGAAGGCAGTGTTAGACAGAGCTGACCATCTAACGACATGCCCTGCTTCTATTATATGTGGTATGACCACTTCCTCCTCCTTCCTCTGTCAATTCCATTATCCTTCATTCATTCAACAGTCATTTGTTGAGCACCTACTGTGTGCCTGACATTGTGCTAGACACTACGGATACAATAATGAATAATAAAGAAGACATGCTGAGTAAGAAATATATGCAAGAAATAACTATAGCACATTGTGATGAATGTTACGATGGTACATAATGATGTACCACCATATGATGGTTAAGATAAGAAGAGGGTTCTCTAAGAGTACATAAGAAGGTCCTATATTTTAGCCTAGGTCAGGTCAGGGAGTCCTCTCCAGTGGAGTGATATTTCAGTTGAGATCTAAGAGATAAGTAGGAAGTAGATGGAGGATCAAAGAAGGTACCATGTGTAGGCAGTAGGCTGTGCACAGATCTGAGACAAGAACTTATGTACCGGCCTCTTTGGAAAACTAAAAGTGGGGAGTGATAAGATCTGAAGCCAGAGGACCTGGCAGGGAGTCATCAGAGACCTTGTGCTAAAGGAGACCGGCAATGGGGGGCTATGGAAGGTCTATGAGCATGATCTTTCTAGAGAGTTCCTCCAGCCAACCTTGCATTATAGCTTTCCTCTACATTATTTTCTCTGTCCTGTCAGTATGGGCTTTCTTGGAGAACAGACACTGATTCCTCTCTGTGCCCTCCTCTAAGTAAACAATTTATTAAATATCTGAGAAGGGAAAGCTGTGGACATGACCATCCCATCAGAGGGATGATGAATTCTCAACTGTGAGAGTCGATGAGTCTCATTATCTGACTGGATGTTGCAGCAATTTCAGAAAGAAGTGAGGTTTTCTTCAAATCCAGCAGGCTAGTATGAGTGCTTTCCAAGACCGTTTTTCCCCTAATTTGTTCATAGGAAAATCATACGTTGTGCAAAGTGAAATTACATAAGTGCTATATTTATTCATTCATACATTATTGAAATTGGACCCCCATGGAAAATTCATGTTTATGTTCATCATAGATATAAACGATGGAGATTTAAGAAGACCCTGTTTTAGAAAAGGTGGGGAGAGAGCAGCCTATTGCTGTGTTTGTGTTTTATGCTTTTAATTACCAGGATCATGCTAGGAGTAGGAAAACAAGTAGTCGAGATTCTGACAATGACAAAGCCATCTCATTTTTAATCCATTCTTGCTTCTCGACAGTAGCTATATTTTGTAGAGTAGTAAAAATTCACAGTAGATTCAGTGTCTTATTAAGAGCCAGACATTTATTGAGCACCTAGAAGAAAGAGCCTTAGACAGGCATTTTGATGGATTCTCAAGAGAATATGTGACCTCGGCCATATCCCATTCCCTCTAGGGCTCTAAATACCCCCATCTCTTTAATAATAAGATGATGATAATAGATGACAGAGGAGCCTTTAAATAACTATTATATTTAAAAAACCCAATAGATAGAAGGAAAGCATCTATATTGGCCATTAAAATAGAGCTGGGAGTCCAGAACCACAGTGCCTGACCTCCTGCTCACATCTGCAATGAAACTCTTTCCCACCTTTCCAAAATAGTCTGTAAGGCATCTGTGGGATTATAAGGCTCCAAAGAAATAGTTTGTTTCTGAGCTTCCTTCTTGCAGGAACCATCAATGATTCTAAATTTCTTCTCTTTCTGCAGGTGTCTCAGCCATCCTCATCCCCCGCCTGGACCTGGTCATCTCCTTTGTGGGCTCAGTGAGCAGCAGTGCCCTGGCCCTCATCATCCCGCCCCTCCTGGAGCTCATCACCTTTTATCCTGAAGACATGAGCTGTGTCACCATTGCAAAAGACATCATGATCAGCATCCTGGGCCTTTTAGGTTGTGTATTTGGAACATACCAAGCCCTCTATGAGTTGATCCAACCCATCAACCATTCCATAGCCAACTCCACAGGTGTCTATGCATAATTATCTATTTTTATTCTAGTAGCTCTTCCTCCCATCCCCAACTTGACTTCCATTGTGGATGTTATATACATTCATCAAACCCCAACATTTCTATATTAATTAGCGACTTCTTTATCTTTCCAAGAAAAATGTACATGACACAAGTCAGTACTCATATCTCTCAGGCTATGCCTTTTTTGGTTTTGGATGTCTTCAGAGGTCTTTTGTACCTATGAACCAAAACCACATTCAATTATTTGTATCATCTCCCTCATTTACTGGGAAGAGGACTGCCATTCGCCCATGGTATCCCTGGAAACAGACCAAGCACAAATGTAAATGCAAAAGCGATTGTTTTCGCTATTCTGCAGTTGCTTCCCTTAAAGCATAAGATTTAGGGAAGTGTGTGTTGGGGAAAGGGCAGTGTTCTATTTGGATATTCTTCTAAGTAGGAGAATCACAGATGGAACAAAGAACTTGGCAATAATTTTATCCGACCATTTGGCTCTGCCACTAATGTCCTATGGGATCTTGGGCAAGTTCTTCCTTCTCTCTGTCCCATCTATGAAATGCAGGACTAGACGAATCAGTTGTTAAGGGTTCATCTAGATCTAACATTCTGTAAGTGAAAAAATAGATTAATTTGTCCTTCAACCACATGTGTGAAAATCAAAGTGATTGCCATCTAGCAAGCCATACTATTGCCCTGGAGATATGGACCTACTGGAAGTAGAGTAAGAGATACAAACATATTTCTTAGCAATCTGTCATTATGGTGATTTCCTACCTAGAAAGACATTACCTCTTTCTCTCCTTCTCTTTTTTCCCTCTGAAATTTTAAGGCCACTTAGAGCTATTTAGGCCGAAAAGTCTATGCAATTCATGTGAGAGAGAAGGATTTCATCATGTGCAAGGACTACTGACCTACTTTTAAAAAAAATTATACCTAGTTTTGGGAAGGGTTTTGAAAAACAGACAATCTTGTATTTTGCAGATGGGAATATACATTATTATAGCTTTTCTGAGGGACAATTTTATAATAAGTTTTAAAATATGTGGCCCTCTGACCCACTAATCCTGGGAATTTACCCTAAGAATACTTTGTGTTTGCAAAAGTTTATGTAAAAGGAGAGCTTATATTTTTATAATATTAAAAAGTTGGAAACACCTAACTTTTAACCTAATAGACACATTAGGTTAAATTATGACTCTTCCAAAATAAAATGGCATATGCCCCCACCTATGGTAAAAATGCACCCATTGATATGCAAATATATTTGTGATTGATCAGTAGGTAAAGCTGGTTTATTAAGAACATTATGTGAACCTAAAGTAGACAAAGACGTTATGAGAAAATAAAGCTACAGATCAAAATCTTTCATGGACATACATGCAAAAATTGTAAAAAAAAAATTCAGCAAATCAAATTCAACAGTATATTAAAAGGGTAATGTATTATGGCAGAATGGGATTTATTCTAGGAATATAGGGTTGGTTTAATTTTTGAAATCAGTGTAGTTCACCATTATTGATAAACTAAAATAGAAAAAATAATAATCTCAATAGACACAGAAAAGCATTTGGCAAAATCCAACATCTATTCCTAACATAAAACTCCTAGCGACTGGGCAGCCTGGGTGGCTCAGTGGTTTAGTGCTGCCTTCAGTCCAGGGCATGATCCTGGAGACCCAAGATCAAGTCCCAGGTTGGGCTCCTTGCATGGAGCCTGCTTCTCCTTCTGCCTGTGTCTCTGCCTCTCTCTCTCTCTCTCTCTCTCTCTCTCTCTCTCTCTCTCTGTGTGTGTGTGTCTCATGAATAAATAAATCTTAAAAAAAAAAAACCTCCCACTCCCAGCAACTAGGAATAGAAGGAAACTTTCACAACCAGTAAAAAGTGTCAATGAAAAGCTACAACTAATGTCATGCTGGATGGAAAAAAACTCTGTGCTTTCCCTGTAATAAAGATCAGAAGCAAATCAGAGACGTCTACTCTCACCACTTCTATCTGATATTGTGCCGGATATCTAAACAATGACATAGGTCAAGAAAAAGAAATATATGGCATCCAGATCAGAAAGGAAGAAAGAACTGTCTTTATGAAGATGTCATTATACGAATATAGAAAAATCCAACAGAATCTAAGGAAAAGCTACCACAAATTGGTTTACAAAGCTTGAGCACACAAAGTCAATATACAAAATCCAACTGTATTTCTCTGTACTAGCTGAGAACAGTCAGAAATTCCACTTATAATTGCATCAAAAAAGATGAAATAATGGGGGAATAAATCTGATGAAAGACATGAAACACCTGTTAAAGACTATAATATATAATATTAATGAAGACTATAATATTTTTAAGATTTTATTTATTTATTCATGAGAGATGCACAGAGAGAGAGAGAGAGAGAGAGAGAGAGGAAGAGCCATAGGCAGAGGGAGAAGCAGGCTCCATGCAGGCAGCCTGAAGTGGGACTCGATCCCAGAACTTTGGGATCATTCCCTGGACTGAAGGCAGGCACTAATATTATTTTGCAGGCACTATCATATTTTGGTAAAAGAAATTAATACCTAAATAAATGGAGACATAAACCTTCTTTATGACTCAGAAGACTCTTTGTGGTTAAGATATCAATTTTTACCACATTCAGCAGGCTTTTGTTTTGTTTTTTGTATAAGTTGACCAACTGGTTCTAAAATTCATATGAAAATGTAAAGGACCTAGAAGAGCCAAAATATCTATGAAAAAGCAGAACAAAGGTGGAGGGCTAACACTGTCTGATTTCAAGATTTATAACAAAGCGATAGTAACCAAAACTGCATGGTGTTGGTGCCAAGACAGACAAGTAGATGAATAGACCAGAATAGCACCCAGAATAAACTCTCTCCGTATGTGGGCAACTGATTTTTGACAAAGGTTCAGAGGCAAAGTAGTTGGAAAAGGATTGCCTTTTCAAGAAATGGAACTACACAAATTGGATATCAATATGCCAAAAAAAGGGACCTAGGTTCCATACTTTACATTGCATATATTAATCAACTCAAAATAGACCTATAAATCTTAGGCCTCAGTATAAAACCTGAAACTAAAATTTTTAGGAGAAATCATAGGGGAAAAAATTTTGTGACCTTGGGTTAAGCAAAGATTTTCTTAGATACAATACCAAAAGCACAATCCATAAAAGAACAATTCAGTGCAGTGAGCTTCATCAAAATTAAAACTCTTACTCTTCAAAAGACACTGTTGAGAGGTTGGAAGGAAAAGCCACAGTCTGAGAGAAAAATCTTTGCAAAGTTATGTCTATTGAAACTCTCATACCCAGAATACATGAAGAACTCTTAAAACCCAGTGATAAGAAAACACCCTTTTTTTTTAAATAGGCAAAGGTTTGAATAACCCATTACCAAAGAAGATATATGGATGGTGAATAAGCATATGAGAATATGTTCAACACCATTATTAATTAGAGAAACCCAAATAAAAGCCATAATGAGATCCCACCATATAGCTAACATTTAAAAGATTGACATCACTAATGTTGGCAAATATGTAGAGGAACTCCAGCTCCCATAAAAGAAAAGGAAACATAAACCTACAAAAGACTTATACATAAATGTTCATGGTAGCTTTACCATAGTAGAAAATGCAACACGTTCTGTAGGGACAGAAAGATTGTTGAAAGGTGAAGGAGTGGGTGAGTGAGTGGGAGGCATTACAAAGGGGCATGAGGAAACTTTTGGGCTTGATGGAGAATGTGTTCATAATTTTGATTGTGAGGGTGGCTTCCCAGGCGTGTATATATATTTTAAAACTTACCAATTATGTACTTTAGGTATACACCATTTAATATTAACTATGCCTCAATACAGTTGTTAAAAAACAAAATGTGAAGCATGATTCCATTTAGGTTCTTTTTTAAAAAGAAGTCATTTGCATATACTCAAGCAATTTTGAAGGGTATACAGAACATAAAATGTTATAGGAATTTTCACAAGTTGGTTGAGTTAGAAATGAAATTTTATGCTTTTTTTTTTTGCTGCCTGTGTTATTGTGTTTTTAGCAGTAACGTTGATTTTATAACTAAAGAAACTGCATGGGAGGGGAAATTTTGTGTGTGTGTGTGAGGGGGAAATTTAATGATTTGTTTCACTATAACAGAAACACAATTTTAAAAATAAAAATTTTATCTTTAACCCATATGAGAAAGTACATAAAGCATAAATGTACAGTGTAATGAATACTTACAGGTAATGTCACTTTTCAACCTCCCCTTCTATGACAGGACTGATGCTATGGAATCCCAGGAATCCCAACTGGAGTTAGCAGAGTTCTCATCCTCAGCACATCATCATCCATTTACCAATAGTCAGATGTCCAGCAACTAACTAGCTCTTGGAGAAGATGTGAAATAACTATGAAAGAGAGGGGAGGCAGAGGGGAGCATCCCATCCCTAGATAAGAAAGCTACAAGCATGGAGAAAGTGAGGCTTTGAGGGATATATGGAAGCTTTCCTATAGAATATAAAGCAAGTTAAGACTGTGGTTTATAACTTTGGTAGGGGGAGTCATACACCTTGTTGAGATTCTAAGGGAAGCTATAGATCCCCCTTCATAAAATTCACGTAAATGCATGCATGCTAAATTTTATGTGCAATTTCAGGAACAATCACAAAATCCATGAAGTTAATAGACCCTGGGTTGCAAAAGAACCTTTGGAAAGAGGAATGCAAGAATGTCTGCTTGTCATAGCATTGAACAATCTACAGATAGTGGATAGCCAACCCTGGCACTAAGGTTTGCATGCAAAATAAAGCAATGCAAAATCAGATTAGAGAGGTAAGCTACCAGACATTAAACAGTCAGGCACCATGTGACTGGTGCAACACACACTATCTGATCGCAGCCTGGCCTTTGAAGATCACTGATAGGACCCAGACTGCTCATTCCTGATGCAACAATGTAAGCTGAATTCTCTACTGCTACGTGCTTCTTTGGCAAAAACTGGGACCTGGTAGCTGGAATAGAGATATTTTAGGGGATATCGAGGATGGAGAGGGATTCCTTCCCCTACCTCAGGACCTTCAGAAATATCTCCTGTTGCAGTTCTCTGCTGGACAAATGTGATCAGTCTTAAAATGATAGAGCTGGACCACATTTGGGGCATAAAGTGGAATGATCTGCAGAATCATCTTAGGGAGAGCCTTAATTTGGATCTTCAGCAAGCAAGCCCATCAAAATGAGGAACGATGAGAGAACTGGGATTGCTACAGAACTCACTGCTAAAGCAACACAAGCCTTGCATGGGCAGGTGGGCAGCAGAAGTCACCCAAGTGAAATGGAGGCATTCAGAGTTGGCCCCAAGTGGACATTAGTGACACAGTGCAATGGTTTATAAGTCACAGTGCCCCTGGCAATGAAACTGAAAGGCAAATTCCTAAGGATAGACAAGATTTGCTATTGGCAAACAATGTCCAGGCTGACTCAAACCTACACAGGCGCCTCTCAAACGAGTACCTGAGTTCAAAGATCAAAAATGGGTGACGGGCCAGAACTGTCTGGTATGGCAACTACCACTTGAAAGTGAAATTGAGGCGATACGACTCTTGAAAGGGAAGTTCATCAGGAGGACTCCAATTTCAGAAGCTGGACTTACAAGTCATGGAGGTAAGTTCCCAGACAAGGAACATCCAGCACCGTGTGACCGAACACGCACACTATCTGATTACATTCAGCACTCTGAAGATCACTAATAGGACCCGAACTGATCCTCTAGGATAAATTCTCTGATGTCTGTGCTGCTTTGGTAAAAACTGGGACCCAGTCGAAAGGCCCTGGGTGATCTGATCCCGCCCGACCTCTCCAGCTGCTTCGTGCACCAGCAGCACCTTTCCTTCCAGTTTTAACGGTCCTTGTCCAGTTCCCTGAAAGCACCATGTTCCTCTTTGCTTCAGAGTTTCCACATACACTATTCCTCTCTTCCCCTACTCAAGTCCTCATTTCTCAGATGTCAGCCATCGCTTCCTCAAGAAAACCTTCTCTGACTTCGTGCACTGACCCAGACACTGCAGTCCCCAGTAACTTCTACTTCGTAACACATCACAATTGTGGTGTTTATTTGCATGTTTGTCTCCCTTCCTGCACTGAAGTTACATGAGAGATAGCTCAAACTCTTTTTGTCCCTCAAAATGGAGACGTCAGCAACATATTTTTTAAACTTTATTTTTGAAAAATCTTTAAGGTGGCAAAAATAATACAGAGTTTCCAATATACCTTTCACCTAGCTTTCACACCAATGTTAACATCTTACCCTAATACAACAATCAAAGCCAAAGTAATTAACTGGTGAAATCCTGTTTTGGGGCCTTTTTCTAATCCAGCATCCAGTTCAAGAGCTCACAGTATCTTTATTCTCTCTAATCTGTGAATGTTCCTAGTCTTTCCTATTTATTTATTTTATTTTAATTTATTTTATTTACTTACTTACTTACTTAATTTATTTATTTAGAGAGTGATCCAGAGAAAGCACAGGCAGGGGGAGGGAGAAGGGCAGAAAGAGAAGCTGTCTACCTGCTGAGCAGGGAGCCCCACATGGGACTCGATCCCAGGACCCTGGGATCACAACCCCAGCTGAAGACAGATGCCCAACCGATTGAGCCACCCAGGCACCCTTCAGGCTTGGCCATGGCCAGTCTTGTTCATGGCCCCATACTTTTGAAGAATACTGGCCATTTATTTTGCAGTGTCTTTCAATTTGGGTTTTTCTAATCTTTCCTCATCTTGGAAGTTAATCCATTTTTGACAATGCCGCAGAGGTCTCATTGTGTTTTATCGATGCATCATATTGGGAGATACACGATGTCAATGTCTTATTACTAGTGATGTTAACTTAATGATATGCATGGTTAAGGTGGTGCCTGCCAGTTTTCCTCACTAAAAAGTGACTACTTTCCTTTTGCAGTTGGTATCTTGTAAGGGGAATACCTTGAAAGCTTGCAAAATCTTGTTTTGTTCTTTAGACGGAGAGAGTGAGTGCTGGCACAAGTGGGGAGGGAAGGGGCAGAGGGAGAGGGAGAAAGAGAATCCTAAGCAGGCTCCACGTCCAGCATGGAGCCCAACACTAGGCTCCATCTCACAACCCTGAGATCATGACCTGAGTCGAAATCAAGAGTCAGTCACTTAACTGAACCCACTCAGGCGCCCTACAAAATCCTGTTTTTCATTATACTTTGACCTAACAATTTTAGCATCCATAGGTGTCTCCTGTTTGCAGCAATTATTACAATATTTGCCTAATGGTGATTTTTTTTTCTCTTTCCAACATTCCTTCTACATTTAACTGGGATTCTGTTGTGTATGGACTAATGGATTTTTTTTTTATTCAATGGATTGGAACACATTACTGTCATTATTTATAGTATTGCTCAAAATGTCCAAGATTTGGCCATTGAGAGCTCCTTCAAGTTGGTTCCTGTGTCCTTACAGTATGCCTCCATGCTCTCATTATCCAAATATATTTATTTTTTCAATCCTAATACACATATTTTCAATTGCTAACCCCTACTCCTGTGAAAAACAAATTGACTGAGTAGAATCCAATATTTCTGTGCAGGTCCTTTGTACTTTAGCTTTATTGTATCCCATCGAAATACTGTAACTTCAGTTATCTTTCTTACCTCCTTCAATGCAGTTGCATTCTTCATTTGAAATATAATTCGTTTGTTATCATTTGTATTCCATGTTGTTTCTCCTCATCACCTGACTGATTTTAATCATGTTTTAGGTATGATGACCATTATTATAGTTCTAAGAGTGCCAATTACATGAAAAGATACACTCAGAAGTCTCCTGCTTCCTTCATCCTTTATACCCTGTTATGATTTTCCCTTCTTTCCTCAATATCCCTACCTAACATAAAGGAGATGTGGTTTATGTATACAATGGAATATTACTCAGCCATTAGAAACGACAAATACCCACCATTTGCTTCGACGTGGATGGAACTGGAGGGTATTATGCTGAGTGAAATAAGTCAATCAGAGAAGGACAAACATTATATGGTCTCATTCATTTGGGGAATATAAAAAGTAGTGAAAGGGAATAAAGGGGAAAGGAGAAAAAATGAGCAGGAAATATCAGAAAGGGAGACAGGACATGAGAGACTCCTAACTCTGGGAAATGAACTAGGGGTGGTAGAAGGGGAGGTGGGCGGGGGGTGGGAGTGACTGGGTGATGGGCACTGAGGGGGTCGCTTGATGGGATGAGCAGTGGGTGTTATTCTATATGTTGGCAAATTGAACACCAATAAAAAATAAATTTATAAAAAAATATCCCTACCTACCCTCTGCAAACAACTAATCTCATTAATGCTGGCTCATCTTTACAAATGAGCACATGAATGTATATTTATTTATACCCACATCTTCCTTCTTACATGAAAAGTAGCACATTGCACTTTGCCTTTGCACTGAATAGCATATCCTGGAAATCAATATCGATTCAAAGATCTCCCTCATTCTTTTTTATGGCCAAATAGGATTCAGTGTGAACATATTGTGGCTTATTCAGTCACTTTCTTAGAGACGTTTACATTTTTAGTATTTGCAATCACAATGCTGCCATGAAAAGTCACATGCAGATGTATTTTTGTATGGTGGGAGGTGTATCTTCAGAGGAGATTCCCAGCGGTGGAATGTAGGATCAAAGAATAAGCACTTTTGAAGTCTGGTTAGGTGCTAACAAATTCCTGTCAAGGATTGTACCACTTTGCATCCCCACCAGCTGTGTAGGCATGCCTGTTCCCTACAGCCTAGACTAGCAGTGTGGTTCTATCTCCATTGTGCACCAGTCTGAGAGGTGATGTTCTATTGTTTTGACAGACATTTCTCTAATCATAGGTAAGTCCGCAGGTTTCATGTTTAAGGCCTATTTTTACAACTTAGTGTGTATGTGTGAGAGGAGAATTGTCTATTCATGTCTCTTCTCAATTTTTCTATCAGGTTTTTAGTCCCTTGGATGTTTCATTCTTTATATAGTAGAAATATTAACACTTGGTCTATGATATGTGCTGAAAATGTTTTCTTCGAGTCTTCTTGGTTTTTTTTTTAATCAAAGATTTTATTTATTCATTTTATTTATTCATTTTATTTATTCATGAGACAGAGAGAAGCAGAGACATAGGCAAAGGGTGAAGCAGATTCCCTGAGGGGAACCCGAGGCAGGACTTGATCCCAGGACTCCGGGATCACATCCTGAGTTGAAAGCAGACGCTCAACCATTGAGCCACCCAGGCATCCCTCTTACAGTCTTTCGACTTCATGGTATTTCGTAAAAAGCGACTTTTTTTTTTTAATGTAGTCAAATGTACCAATCTTTTATTTCTTGTGGATTTTGCATCTATGTTTTCCTTTAGTAGTTGTATGGTTTCATTGATATTTAGACCCTGGATCTATTTGGAGTTTATTCTGCATTTGGTGTGAAGTATGAATCTATTTTCAACTTTTTCCAGTTGGCTCAGTACCATTGCTTAAAAAAGTCTATTTTGCCTGTGATTTGAGATTTTTCACACCCTCCCCACTGAGACCCAGGGCAGCATTTGACCCAGGAGCTTGGCAGGACATAGAAAGATTAACCGAGCTAATGAGATTCCATTCTAGGATATGAACTGAGAACAACTGTGAGAACAAGGCCTAAAAAACCAAAAGGGGAATAGGCTGGAGTGGTCACAGAGCAATAGGAAAGCAAAAAAAATAAAAACAAGCCAAGGATCTTGGATGGTGACGAGACAGATTGAAGCAGGGAGAACAAGCAGCTCACAAGGCAGAAACAGAAGAGACAGTCCCTGGAATCACTTCAGCTCGTGTGTGCCTCCAGAGCAAACTCTACCAGCAGGAACAGCCCACCCCAAACAAGCTCCTAAAAACTCGACGATGGATAAATGTGCAGTCAAGACAAAGGAGGAATTCTCAGCAAATTAAAAAGGTTTATTGCCATTCCAAGCTTCAAATGATCCCAGGAGCTGGGGGTAATCCAGGGGTCAGTAGGTTGTCATGGAGGACGGGACGATGGGCGAACCCAGGAACCCGAGGTGAGTCCACCTCTCTTCGTTGGATCTTTGCTCCACAGAGCAGCTGCTGGTGGGTTCCAACTCTTCCGCATTTGCCCCATTCAGCATGACAATGCTGCAAGGCTGGGGCAGGCAGCCTCATGATCCCTGCCACCGACAGCAATGAGAGGTTGCCTCCCCCGTCCCTAGCCCTGCAAGAGCCTGCTCTGTGGGTCAGACCCTATGGATCCGGCCCTGCAGAGGGACAAACAACCCTGGAGGAGTCATCTCAAGACTGAAAGGACAAGGAATGCATGTTCTTACATCAGAGGATGCAAACTGGCCACAGTGGGCCAGATTTCCCCCACTGACACATCGGTTTTGCCCTTTTGGCCTGCACAGTGTTTTTAAAAAAATCATCTGTTGCCAATATTTAAAAACTATAAGATTTCATATAAAAGTCTGGACTTCTGGCTTCTCCAAGGGAAAAAAAATTTGAGACTATTTGGCAATACTGGGCCTACGGCATTGTCATGTGGCACCAACTGGCCACGGCTCTACCGCAGCTGCCCCTCTGGGCTGAATGCACCCTTTCTAACTCAGCCCAGGCCCCATCATCCCTGACAATATTCCCAAGCTCAAGCCTGGACATCAGCTGCCTGTAACAATGCATATCTGCTGCTATAAAAGGCGGGGGTGGGTAGGAAGACATGCCTGGAAACAGTATGCTCCTTGTCATCATCCTCACTCATTTAGGTCTCGTGTTTGGCCCTGCAGGCACCTGAGTCTGTAAACTTTCTTAAATACATGGGCATTCTTAAATACCTCTCCCAGTGAAGCTCCACCACGTGCCCTGCCTTCCCCGGATACACTATGCCCCACTGTTTGCTGGGTAAAACTAGAAAAGAATACTGAATTAATCACAGAAGTTAATGGAGGAATAGACTGAGGTGAACTACTTCAGCCCCTTCATCATAAGGGGGACAAAAGTAAAGCAAAAAGTGTTATTAATACTTCCATTCTGCTTTTAAGTCAGTGACCCAAAAAAATTTTTTTAAAGAAAATCACAAAGGTAACTTCTGAAAACTACAACTGGGTTGGTCTGAACTCAAGATCACAAAATACATTGGTCCCATTCCTTGATTATTTAGAAAATGAATTAAGCTCTTAAAGAGAAAGTCATAGAGTCAAGGAGGGAAATGAAGCGGCCAGCCTGGCAGCTGCTGTGGGCTATCAGAGCCGCCAAGCCGCACCCCTAGGTCAGGGCTGCCCACCCATGCCATGCAGGTGGCACAAAATGATTCTCAGTGAGGGAAGTGGCATCATTGCAGAAAGGGCTTGAAGGGGTACAGAGAGTCAGGATTTGACCTCGGCAAATACAAGACAGAAGAGGGATACCTTTCTCAGGCCCCTTCTTTCTGCTATTGCTGGTGCCACATTATTTGCCCATCAGAGAGGCAGAGATCCTGACACAGCCCAGACGCTTCCCACCGCTGCTGAGGATGCCCTGGATGCGGTAGTGCCCAAAACTGAGCCAGGAGGGCAGCTCCATGTTGGGCAGGATGAAATCAGTCCGAGGCAGCGAGTAGATGCCCTGCAGGAAAACCGGTGGATCACAGGTCAGTGGAAGCCTACTGAGGGGACTCTCATGGAACTCTCCCAAAAGGGCAGCCATGAACTGCCCTTCCTGCCACTCCCCGGAGAGCCACATGACACTGGGGATAGCCATAGCACTACAGAGCATGGAATGTTAGAGCTAACCGGCACTGGAGGTCATACTGCGGTTTAAGTCTCCCAACCCACAGATGGATAAACCAAAGCCCCCGAAATATAAGCAATCCAAGATAGATCACCCATAGACATCCAGATCTGTGAGAGGAGAATGCAAGAACCCTTCCTTCCAAGTCCCATGTATTTACTCCAGCCACAGAAAGAATGCTCTCCTTTCCTATGTACTTACTGCCTTGATGGGACAGTGGCAGGGAAGCCCATAGGTGTGCAGAGGCTCCGGGCAGGGCTGTCCAGGGGGAATAAAAGTGTCAAGTACTTGGCAGATGTCTTCATAGGTGCAGCTACCAAGTTCATCCACACATGGGACTTTGACCCAGAAGCCAGCCAATTCCTTCTCCACAATTATTTCCACCTAGGGAGAAAGAGTTTGAAACAGTATAAGCTCCAAGGCAAACATACCAACTCCTCTACATTTTTAAAAGATCAGCATTTTATTTTGATCACGGAATTTTTGATCGATGGGGTCTTGGAGATATTCTGATCCAGAAGTGACCATGTGGCACATGTCCCAGTGTTATCCTTCCCGGTGCCTGTGGCAGATAATTAATGATCGTTGTGATATTCCACCCCCCTCCCCCCGAACCATAGTCTTAAAATTCTTTAGGTAATCACTACCATAGGTTGAAGCTAACACTGGAGCTGAAATGCACTTGTCATGTAACTGCTAACTGGCACCACTTGCTAGACTTTCCTTCTCAGCCCCATCTGGGCTTCAAGAGCCCTTTCCTGTGTAGGACCTCAGGCAACAATTGCCAGCCGATTGGAGTAGAAACCTCTTTTCTATCCTTGGGTAAATTTTCTCTGTAGAGCTGTAAAAGAATTTAAAACAGTAGGAATTTATAGGGAGCTCACTTTGGGATTGATATAAAGGAAGATCTTCGTCACAATCATAGCTAGGATATAAAAGAAATACCCCCCAAGAAGTGGCAGGCTCTCCAGACTGAGTTGGGGAAGCCACCGAAGGACCCCACACTCAAAAGAAGCTAGATGAGAAGATCGATGATGTGCTTCACACCTCCATGCTGACATGATTCTACTCCTGTTCTAGAGGTTGCAGCTGAGCCGGAAGAGGCCAGGACTTCAAAGCAGACAGTCCCAGCTGTGCCTGCTGTGTGCCAGGCATTCACTAAGTGAGCTCCCTCTCTTGACCATGTTCGTGCCCCACCAGCAACCCCCTGCCCCCTGCCAAATGTATTAAGGGAAAACAGTAAGGAAAGGGAAGGGGGAAGTTAGCTCACTCGAACATCTGATTTCTTGTGGGTGTTATGGCAGGAAACCACAATTTTAGGGTCCCTTTCAGTTCTGAAATCCTACCAATGTCATGTTTCCCAGCCTCCAGGCTCACTTGATTTAGGACTTTTGTCTTTAAGAGACAAATCCTGGATGGGCACTTATTCCCCTAGAGTCTGCTGGGCTTGGGCTGGCTCCCCAGCTTGTGGACTCAGTCTTCCAACAGCCCTAGATGTCAGGATCCAGGCTCAAGAGGAAGGGAGGCATCAGTGTACTCTGGATCCTGAGCAGACAGATTCAAATTGCTTTCTTGGCTCACCTCATGGCGCTCTGCTGACACACGCAGTATCCCGCACCCCCACTCACACATGGTCCCCTGCCAGTCTGCCTCTGTGCTCTCCTGCCAAGCCTGCTCCAGCCCCTTTGCCTGGGAGAGCCAGAAGGCCTGGACTGGAAAGCTATCCCTGCCACTTCCTAGTATTGTGCCATTGCGTCAAGCTACTTTGCTCAGTTTCCATTCCCTTGTCTCCAAAAGCAGGATATTTTAGAGTGCCAACCTCTCTCATAAGATCCCATCGAGTGAGACAATGCCTGTAAAATGCTTAGCACAGTGCCTGAAATCCAAACATTAACTCCTGCAGGACTACCTATCCTACCTTCTCCTTCAGCCAGTACCCCTTGTTTCTCCAGTATCCCAATGAAAATGGTTAAGTCAGTTATGCCCTGAACAGAAATGCCCAGATGGGGGGACCAGTGAGGGCCAAGTCCTGGCTGGGGTCCTCCCATCAGGCTAGAAGCCTATGGGGCTGTATCCACCAGAAGGAGCCATGCCTTGCCTACCCAGGTCAAAGACAGCACTGGAGGTGCTCAGTAGTAGTGCATGGAACGTAAGGCAATAGGTACTTTTGAGGCAGTGCCATGCCTTCCACTTGGGGATTGCATGGCTCAGTTCCCAGCCCCTGTTATCAATCTGCCTCCTCCTATGGCTCAGGAAAGCAAGCAAGGCTGAATAATAAGATACCATCAATCTCTCTAGTCCAAGACTTCCTTGCAAATTAGGTAGCTTGATTTAAATAAACTTCTGTCATGGGACCTGTCTCGACAACCAGACAGACAGAAGCTCTGACCAATAATCAGGGCTGGATCCCTGCACCTGCCAGGGCCCATGAGCAAGTCCTCAGGTCTCCACCCCTCCATCCTGACAATGGAATATTTGGATCTCATGATCTCAAAGAGGCCTACCAGTCCTGACATCCTAAGAGTGAAAATTTCTTATGGGTTGAAAAGAAATTATTTATCTTGGCCTCTCCCACACAGATAGGCACACAAAAGCTCTAAATAAAGATACATGGGGAGCAGCTGAAGGGGAGCCACCTGATGCAACGGAAGGAGGCAGTTATAAACTGAGTACTGTAGGTACATGATTCTCAGGGGGAAAATAGGTCAAACTATCAGGCCTGAAAGCCACATCTAAAAGCCCAAAATTAGTGTATATGCCAAATAAAGAAGCAATTTATGATTCCTGAGGATGAGAAAACAAGGGTCTCAGAGACTGGAACTTGAGAGAGGGCCCACAGGAGGGAGTTATAAATTAAGCTGAATCCTATAAAGCAAGTCAAAAGAGGAAAGGGGAGCTCCTGGGTGGCCCCAGTCTTGCCCATGGCTCATGGAATCTGGGGCATCCAGCTTCTAAACATTGCAGCAGGGGTTAAATTCATCCAGGTCTGAGATGAGACTCTGGATTAAAAAAATTCCACTTCAGCATGGTCAGCGGAAGAGAGGATGAGTTGGCTCTCCTGCTTGCAAGCTGGGTGGGCCTGGATCCCTCACTCTCCTCTCTGGGCCTCAGGAACAAGAGATGGAAGACATTGAGGCCTCCAGGCTCATAAGGGGCTGTCTCCAGGGGATCTCTGCTGAGCAAGGGAAAGTTCTGGAGCACTCTCCTACAGACACACCAAGCACTAAGTCCACCTCCATGCCTGAAAAAGTTCAAGAACAGGTAACACAACATAAGGACACCCAGTCTTGAATGTGCTAGTAACTACGCGACCTGGGCAAGCTGCACCCTTCTATGAGCCTCAGCACCCCTGATCTGTAAAACGAGGCTCATCACCTTTTCTCCTACACAAGTGTTCAGGGGCTTTCATTTGATAGCTAATATGCATATTACCTGAAAAGTGAAAAGAACTAAACTGAAAATATACAAGAGAAATGTTAAGAGCAAGGGAAGGAGCAGAGGCAATCCAAGCACAGTTTTTATAAAGTGCAATGGCCCAAACTTATGTACAACAGGTCATAAAGTATCAGGAAAGGGGCGGGCCTTTGAAGAAGCCAAGAAAAGCAGGCTGGGGGCAGAAAGAGCACCATTTTTTTTCCATCAAATGCGAAGCATCACATAAATGCCAGCATTCTGCACAACAGTGAAAGCAGAACAAGCATGATGGCACCTGCCAAAGAGCCCAACACTCCAGACTCAGCAGAAAGAGCACGGAAATGGCATTTGTGTGACCCTGGTAGATTATCGCTTGAAGTATAGCTAAAGGAAATGTAATGATCTAGCCTGGGGAAGACTTGGAGGGAGGTACAGAGGAAGGCAGGGCCCAAGAGCTGTCCACACATCCCGGGCTTCTGTCCAAGTCAGAGGGGCCACAGGAACAGACTGACATTAATTGAACTATTAACAAGAGTTAACATGTAGCGAGCAGGTCTTGTGCGCCAGGTTATGTAAAAAAGCACACTGCATGTTATCAACCCAGTAATGTCCACAAGCAACCTAGAAGGTAGAGGCTGTGATTCAGCCAGGGGGAAGGGTAGTTACCAGGACACATTCCACATCAGAAGGCTTTTAAAGAATCAGAACAAAACTGGTGCCAGAACAGATCTGCACCTGGGCAAGCTGAAGGGCATATAAGAATATGTTGTGGGGCATCTGGGTGGCTCAGTGGTTGAGCATCTGCCTTCAGCTCATGTCGTGATCCTGGGGTCCTGGGATCAAGTCCTGCATCAGGCTCCCTGCAGGAAGCCTGCTTCTCCCTCTGCCTATGTTTCTGTCTCTCTCTCTCTGTGTCTCCCATAGATAAATAAATAAAATCTTTTAAAAAATGTTTTAAAGGAAGCAGTTGAAAGTAGTGAGAGGGACTACAATGTATGGTGTTACAAGAGATATATGAAAAGCCTCTATTGTTCTGTAGAAAAGCATGTAAACAGCCACCCCCATAAGAGGCAACAGACATGATCAAACTGGCTAATCCCAAAGTAAATACAAAAGGCAACAAAATTGGGATGACTGGGTGGCTCAGTGGCTAAGCATCTGCCTTCATTTCAGGGCCTGATCCCAGAATCTCAGGATGGAACCCCACAACAGGGTCCCCACAAGGAGCCTGCTTCTTTCCCTGCCTATGTCTCTGCCTCTCTCTGTGTGTCTCTCATGAATAAATAAAGCCTTTAAAAAAAAAAAAAAGGCAACCAAATTAATGAAAAGACATCGAACCTCACTAGGGATGACATAAAATAGTGGAAAACATTATTAGAAAATGCTCAGAATCAAATCTGTGAAAAAAGGCAAATCTGTTGCTGGCAATCTGTTGGGAGAGGATATATGGGGTTCAAATATCTGGAGGCACTTTGGCAATATGTACCTAAAGACCTAAAAAAATCTGTGCCTAAAAATAAATAAATAAGTAATTAAATAATAAATAAATAAAATAAAGTCTCTGTCTAGATAATCAGAAAAGTACAAAAAAATACATGACTAGGATAATGTTGGCAAAGGTGTTTATAACAGCCAAAAAATAAACGAAGCCAAACAAACAAACCAAAAACTGCCCTAGAAACAAATTAAATGTCTGACAATAGATTTGTTAAGTATACCAGGACAGATCTACAACCGAATATTTCTGCCATTAAGAAGAGTTAGGTAAACTGATGCCAAATGCCATAGAAAGAGGTATAGAACCTACAGTATGATGCTAAAAAAAAAAAAAAAAAGCAAGTTTATTTTTTTTAAGATTTTATTTATTTGAGAGAGAGTGAACAAGAGCAGTGGGGAGGGGCAGAGGGAGAAGCAGACTGCCCACTGAGTGGAGAGCCCAACGCAGGGCCCGATCCCAGGACCCAGGATCACAACCCGAGCCAAAGGCAGATGCCCAACCAACTGAGCCATCCATGCACCCGCAAAAAAGCAAGTTTAATAGCACATGCCATAAAAATCCACTATTGTAAATGTACATATATTTACAATGCAAATGTACATATATTTACAAATGTAGAAAATATTCTGACGATTATGTAAATAGCAGTGACTACATCATGAGGAGGCACATTGCAGGACACGTTTACAAGGTACACTGCTTCTTATTTTCATACATATCCACTCAAAATTAATATGCATGTTATATGTGATTGTATGGGGGACAGTTCCAAATCCTAGCCTACCAAATGTTTAAAGTGCCTACCCCCTATCACTGGGTAGTTGAGATTTCAGGGGATGTATCTCCCCCACTTTTTGAGAATTTGTAATTTCTAAAGTGACTACATATTACTAAGTGACATCCCTGTTTTATAATTCACAACAGCACCAAAACAAAATTGCCCAACTGGAGTAGAATTCACGCATCCTTTGCTGCTCTGTGATTCCAGGATTGCAGAATTACTCACGGTCACCTGAGCATACATCCCTAAGGGGCCCCGCCAGCTGGCCCATGCCACTTCCCTCCAGCACCTCCGCAACCCTGCCCACTTTCAGGCTCACCTTCTGAGGACTGTTGAGGGGGACACTGGTCCGGACCTCGAAGCTGACAGTCATGTTCCCAGGAAAGAGAACAGGGTCAGGTAGCAGAGACAGGCTTCTGAACAACACAGGATCCTTCCCCCTATCGCAGTTGTTCCAGAAAAAGCTCCCGGACTTGGGTGGCTGAAGAAAATCAGGCAGAAAGAAAAGAAATGTTGACAAAAGGAACGCTCACAGGGCAGAAGCATCAACAGAACAGGCTATGGATGGTGTGACAGTGGGCGAGGCACTTCCCCTCCCTGAGCTTTCATCTGCACCTCTGTATCTGTAAGCTCAGGATAACACCTTAGTACCCATCTCCAAGGTAGTACTACACCAGAAAACTCAAAAAATATAATCTCCCCAAAGTGTGCTATAAACTAGAAAGCACAAGACAAGAACTAAGGGCTCTGCTGGTCTCTGGAAGAGAGAACAGAAGTGTCCCCTCCCCAACCCCACCCCTGTCCAAATAGGCAGTATGGGGTTAGCAGTGAAAGGCAGGAGTCTGGAGTGAGATATAGGGTAAATCAGAGCTTGAGTGAACAGGCCTGGCTCAGCCACAGCATCACATGATTCTATAGGCCAGTTTCCCCTTTGGCACTCCAATTTCCACATCTTTTAAGTGGAGGCTTTATACTTTCCTCTTAGGGATGTGAAGATGAGAGCGTGCATGTAAGCTCTTAACAATGCCAGGCCCAAAGCATGAGCTGGCTCACTGAATGAAAGCCATTTATATGGCCCAGCCTCCACTTCCTGCCATTAGTTCCAAGAGATTCCTTATATACCTGGAGTAAACTTCCCTTTAGTTGAGCTTCTTGGAATGAGTTTCTGTCCCTTGGAATGAAATGTCATGACATGAGTAAGAAGAACAGGACAGGGTCTGATTCATGCCTGCGTGCCCCACAGCCCCTTACGCAGGGTAGGTGCCGATAAATGTTTCCTTCAGTATTCATCCCACAAATATTTATGGAGCAATGATCACGGGCTCTGGACTAAGTTTGTGTTCATAGTGGCAAACAATTAGAAATGTTCTTGCCCTGCCTTGAGAAGCTTAGAGTCTAAAGCCAATAAATGTTACCCACCGTGATTTCAGAGCGCCGGAAAAGAAATGATCAGAGGTAATGTTGAGAGGAACAAAGGACTTACTTAAACAGGGTAGTAAGGGAATGATACTTAAGCTGGGCCCCTGCAGGATGAGAAGTCGGCCATGTAAGTAGAGAGATTGTTCTATCCAGGCAGAGACTACATGGGCAAAGGCCCTGTGGTAGGAAGTTTCGCTGGCCTGGGCACTATAAGAAGGCTATTGGGCTACATGTAGCAGATGACTGACCCAGATGAGGCTGGAGGGGAGGCAAGGTCATTTAATGTACGACCTCATAGGTCATAACTGGGACCCTGGATTTACTATAAGTGCAACAGAACCCCACTGCAAGAGAGTGCCACACTCTGGTTCATGGTTGAGAATGGACTGGAGAGGAACAAGTCTGGAAGGGGGAGACCAGTTAGGAGGCCGTTGTCAAATGAAAGAATGCCTGGACTTAAGAGTTGGGCTGGAAGGCAGGTAGGAGGACTAGCCATTTTCTGGGGCTGTTTTCACAGATTCTGAGGCACCCTGTTTCACATCGAGGGCTGATTCCAGGCTGGGGCAGGTGTCCCAAGCGTCCTGTTGGAGATGAAGAATTCCCTCCCTTCTTCTAAGCTCCCTTTTCCTTCAGCCCCTGAGGGAGGCAGAACAACAGAGTTTCCCCCGTGCCTGACTAGAAGCCGCTCTGGCAAAGATTTCTGCAGTTGGGTCCAGCCTCGTCTGGAAGAGGAGGCACAGAGGATTAGCAATGCCCACTAAGAGCCAGACCTGGCACAGGAGCTCCTCTGACCTGTGCATGATACGTTCCCAGACCCCCAGTGGATGCCTGAAACCACACATAGTACTGAACCCTGTATATTCTATGGATTTTCTTCTATGCATGCTTTTATATATATATACCTATGATGAAGTTTAATTTATAAATTTGGCACAGTAAGAGATTAACAACCATAACTAATAGAAAACAGAACGATCATTAACACCACACTGTAACAAAAGTTATGTAAGTGTGGTCTCTCTCCCTCTCAAAATATCTTACTGTATCACACTCACCCTTCTTCTTGTGATGATGTGAGATGAGAAAGTGCCTGTGTGATGAGATGAGGGGAGGTGGGTGATGCAGGCATTGTGACATAGCATTAGGGCTACTATTAAACATCTGATGAAGTCAGAAGTCAGAAGTTCATCATCTGCTTCCAGCCTGCGACTCACTGGGCTTACAGAGCACACAAGGCAAAACCACAGATAAGGGAGAGACTATTCCCAGGATAGGCCAACACGTGGGAAGAGGCAACAGAGGGCAGAGGGAAAATGCACAGTGCTGGAGGCAAAAATACAGGTATATATCATATGACAGACCCGGGTTCCAATCATACCTCAGCCACTCACACGAGCTGAGGCCCTGGACAAAGTTACCCTCTTGAGGTTGTTTCCTCATCTATTAGATGGACATAATTATATCTTCTCACAGGGCTGCTGGGGAAATGAGAAGTATGCACAGAAAGTACAGTAGCCACCCCTCAAGCCTGGCAAACCATGAAAACACAAGACTGAGAACCTGTCACAGACCAGAGGAGACTGGGGTGGCCTGATGACAGATGCACCGTGCTACCTTGGACTGGATCCTGGAACACAAAGAGGACATTCATGGGAAAACTGGTGAAATCCAATAAAGTCTAGAGTTTTAGGTAATGGTGATGAACCAATGCTAGTTTCTCAGTTTGGGCAAATGCACAATGGTAATACGAGCTGTTAACATCGGGGAAACTGGGTGGGGAGTTTATGAGAGAACTCTGTGTTATCTCTGCAACTTGTCTGTAAATCTAAAATTATTCCCCCAAAAAAGCTTATTAGAAAAAAAAAAAGCACACAGCTCAACACATAGCACAGAGTATGTGCACACTAAATGACAGTCATTATACAGTGTCACAGAGTCTATTAAGCACCTTCCGTATGCCTGCACGGGATTAGACATTCTCCCCATTGTCTGATGCCGGTCATAGCCCAGCAACACAAGAGTGGTTAACACGAGAAGAGGAAATAAAACAAGTTTCCAGATGCATCACCCCACTGTCCTTATCTGGCTCCTGGTCTCAGGCACCAGACTCTGAATCACATGAGCCCAGAGAAAACTGAAAGTGCCTTTTGCTGTACATCACAGGTGGCACCTCCTCTCTACCGGCCTGAGCAAGGTAGGTGAACTCTATGATGTCTCAGGGCCTCTCCAAAAGTGCTGATCTAAAGCCCTCTGGTCTGGGATGGCATCCATGGTCAAGACATAGGAGAGACTGGGGATGCAGGGCAAGTCCGAGGTCTAGCTCGACTCCACCTCATAGCGGTCAGCCCTGGAGCCAAGAGAAACATTCTCAACCTATACTCAGGGACACACTGGGAGTCCTCTAGGCAAATAAGGCCAAGAGGTCCTTATGCTTTCATTCAATAGGAAAAATAAAATAGACCCCTTGGCCCCCGGGGGCAGGGTGAGGCCGAGTCTACTGGCTTGTATCACTTTACCTGTTACTTTAGCCCTTTCCAACCATGAAAGCATTTCCCTTCGCCCACACCCATCTGAGAAAGGCAGGCTGGTATCATCATGTCCATTTTACAGATGAGGAGACCATCTGTGTCTTGCCCACAGCTATGCAGCAAAGAGACAAATGCAACTAGGCTTCTCCAGGTCTCAGAAAGACAGAACTTCCCCTTCCCAAGGGTCTGGAGCATGGGGTGAGTGAAAAGTGAAGACTCTTCCGTGGCCTGTAATCAGAAGCAGTGGGTCACAGGGCTGGATCTCTGTCACCAGAAGAACAGGTCTGGGCCTACCTGCCTCTCAAACCCACGCTTGTCATGACAAGCTGAGCCACAGAGCAGACAGAAGGGGAAGGGATGAGTGCCAGGCCTTTTTATGGGAGGTGGAAGGCGGGGGCAGGTAAACAAGGCTGAGTCTCTGGGCCTGAGAGCAGTTCCTTAGCCTTGCAGTTCTGCCAAATCTCACTCGGATGTTCGATATTCCGAAAGAGAGCAAGAGAGTAGAGACCTAAGGGAGATGAACCCTTCCCTAAAAGTGGAGCAGAACAAGGCCTAATAGCCCACGTTCACTATACAGATGGGTTAACCGAGACTCAAGAGAGAAAAGGACCCACTCGGAGTCCCACAGTTAGTGACTGTGGGAGGCTCTGCAGAGGAGAAGGAATTCTAGAAAGCAGAGTAGCCACCCCCATAATCCCACCCCAACCGGACCGGCGAGCTGGAAGCAGCCCCGAAAGGAGCGAGGGCGGGCGGGAGTGGGGGGCACACTCACCCTTCTCTGGTGGACGCGTGAAGGGTCCGCAGGGCCGGCGAGAAGCAAGCCCAAGACGATCAGGAGCACAGCATCCATCTGGGAGGCCATTGCAAAGAGCGGGTCCGGGCAGGGTTACTAGGTCTGTGGCGGCGGCGGCGCCCTTAAATGCTAGCCTTCGTTGGTTATGCAAAGCTGGGCATTGCTACGCAGAACCGAGCGCCGCCGCTTCCAGGTTTGCCCCGCCCAGTGGGGGGTCAGAGATTGCGGGGCCTGCAGTTGGACAAACCCCCAGCAGAGGTTCCTCCTTTAGCTCCTGCCTCCAGGCACCGCCGTGCAGCCCCTCCTTCGGGCCCGAGACTGCGGAGCCGGGGGACGACGGGGGCGGGGCCGGGGGCCGGGGGCGGGGCCGGAGCCCGGGCGGGGGCGGGGCCGGGGGCGGGGCCGAGCGCGGGGCGGGGCAGGGGCGGAGCCAGAACTGCAGTTGCTAAAGCGTCGGAGTGACCTTAGCTGCGGAAAAGCCTTTTGTTTTGAAACCCGCGTGCATTCTTTGACCCAATGTCACGCTCCTTGTTCATATGACGTTTTCCTGTATCCGTGTTCCGAATCACTGTGTTTTTTCAATAATTATAATCACAATTGTAATAACCGAGAGAAAGTGCTTTAATGCATGCTAAGCACGTTAAACGCCTATGAGAAATCTTTTTGCCCCATCTTAGCACCGAGGAAGACAAACAAACAGACAAACAAACACCGTGGGGTTAGCTTTGCCAAGGTCACAGAGCTGGGAAGTGATAGAGCAAGGATATATAGCCCATCTGCTTATGTAGCCCATCAGCCAAGATTTTGTTAAGCTATAATGCTTTTAAGTTTTGCTTTTTAAAAAAGCAATAGGGATATTATTCTTGCCAAATCACCACTAGATTGTAAACCCTGCAAAGGGTGGGTCAACTATGAGTGTTGGTCACTAACACGGACCTGACCCATCATGAGCAGTCAATCTTTGTTGAATAAATGAATACATAAGTAGAATTTAAAACTTACCTAATCAGCTTTTTTAAAATTTTTTTTATTTTAGAATTAATTTTAGATTTACAGAAAAGTCACCTGGATGGTGTATGCAACTGATGAATCACTAAACTCTACCTCTGAAACTAATAATACACTACATGTTAACTAATTGATTTTAAGTTTTAAAAAAGATCAGGGTATTCTTATAAAAACGAGGAAACTGGCATTGGTACGTTGCCAGACTTTATCCAATCTTTTAATATGCTTTGTTTAAGTTTTTACTTAAATTTCAGTTTAATATTAATAAAATACAGTGTAATATTACTTTCAGGTGTACAATATAGTGATTCAACACTTGCATACATCACCCAGTGCTCAGCACAGCAAGCGCGCTCCTTAATCCCCATCACCTATTTCACCCCATGTACCCTCTCTGCTAACCCCCAGTTTGTTCTCTAAAGTTAAGAGTCTTTTTCTTGGTTTGCCTCTCTTTCTCATTTTCCTCCCTATGTTAGTTTGTTTTGTTTCTTAAATTCCACATATGAGTGAAATCATATGGTATTTGTCTTTCTCTGACTCATTTTGCTCAGCATAATGTACTCTAGCTCTGTCTATATCATTGCAAATGGCAAAAATTCATTCTTTTTCATGGCTAAGTAATATTCTATTGTGTATATATACCACATCTTCATTCATCAGTCAATGGACACTTGAGCTGTTTCCATAATTCAGCTATTGTAGAAAATGATGCTATAAATATTGAGGTGCATGTATCCCTTTGAATTAGTATTTTTGTAGTCTTTGGGTAAATACCTAGTAGTGTAATTGCAGGATCATAGCATAGTTCTATTTTTAACTTTTTGAGGAACCTCCATACCATCTTCCAGAGTGGCCACACCAGTTTGCATCCCTAATAGTGTAAGGGGGGTTCCCCTTTCTCCATATCCTTGCCAACACCTGTTGGCTAGCATTTTTCACAGAGCTATACCAAACAATCCTAACATTTCTATGGAATCACAAACACCCTGAATAGCCAAGACACTCTTGAGAAGAAAAAGCAAAGCTGGAGGCATGATTCCAGATTTCAACCTCTATTATGAAGGTAGTATGGTACTGGCAAAAAAAAAAAAAATAGACACACAAATCAAAAGAACAGAATAAAAAAACCAGAAATGAGCCCACAACTATATGGTTAATTAAAATCTTCAACAAAACAGAAAAGAATACCCAATGGGAAGAAGACAGTATCTTCAACAAATGGTGTTGAGAAAATTGGACCACAGCATGCAGAAGAATGAAACTGGACCACTTTCTTACACCATACACAAAAAGAAATTCAAAATGGATTAAAGGCCTAAATGTGAGAGAGGAAACGATCAAAATCCTAGAGGGGAACACAGCAGCAACCCCTTTGACACCAACCATCACAACTTTTCTAAATATGTCTCCTGAGGCAAGGAAAACAAAAGCAAAAAATAAACTATTGGGACTTCATCAAAATAAAAAGCTTCTGCACAGCAAAGGAAATGATCAGCAAAACTAAAAGGCAACCTACGGAATGTGAGAAGGTTTGCAAAAAACATATCCAATAAAGGTTAATATCCAAAATATATAAAGAACTTAATCAAACTTAACACCCTGAAAACAAATAATCCAATTAAAAATGGGCAGAAGACATGAAGAGACATTTTTCCAAAGAAGACATACAGATGGCCAACAGACACATGAAAAGATGCTGGATATCAATCATCAGGGAAATGCAAATCAGAACTCCAATAAGATACCATCTCACACCAGTCGGAACGGCTAAAATTAATATGCTTCGTAAATTGCACACCTTCCTCCCATTCTGACAAGGTCTTCTTTCTCTCATCTAGAATAGACTCTTCATTATATGCAAGTGCACTTTCAGGCCCCTTGAGATAGAGGACTTGCCCAATGACACACAGCAATAGCAAAATGAGAACTCACTTCTCCTGAAGCTGATCCCACAGTGGTATGAGAGATGTTCATGTGGCTGCACTCCTTGGTGGCTGTGCAGGTGCTGGATAGGGGAACTGGAAGCCAATGCTGGTCAGCCCTGGAGCCTCATTGGCTACAGAAAGGGGGGTGTACTGACTCCCTTCCAGCATCATTTCTTCTTCATCTTTGCACCTGCCAAGGCCCCTAAACCCCATTACCCACTTCCTCCCTGCTCCTAAATGCTCCAGTCCCTCAGCCTGGAAGCACACTCCTTCAAACAAGAACTTATTGATCTTGGGTATCAAAGGTTAATGCTCTCAGCCACCTTGGAGGATCTCTCAGTGAGTTGGCACATTCCTTGTGGATGAGAGTATTTGACACCTCCATCTGAAGGGCTTTGGAGGAGATGCTGGAACGCCACAGACACAGTGACTGGAAACTAAGACCATAACCAAGGTGGGAGGTGAAACCACAAGGATAGTGTCTCGTTCAGAGCACTCACTCTGTGTTGGGCAGACCCAGGGCTTTGTCCAGTGAGAGCCTAGGCAAGGGCTTTATTCTCTCCGGTCTCGGTTTCCTCATTTGTAAGACAAAACAAAGATTAAAATAATAATAATAATAATAATAATAATAATAATAATAATGACGACAAACAACTAGTTGTTGGTACTAAACTATTCTCTCATTCAACAAATACAGATTTAAAGTTGAACTATATAAAAGTCCTGCCCCCACGTCATAACCCCATCCCTACGCCAACAAAGTCCATTCCAGAAAGGCAGTCAGCAAGTAAAGGCATTAACAAGATACTATCCAAGAGTAATTATCCTGGAAGACAAAAAAATACAAAGTGTGGTGGGCCTGCCCTCTTGAGTCTGGTAGGAATTCTCTGCGGAGGCAGAGAATCATTCTTGGGAGAAGTGAAAGACATTTGGGCTGAGAGCCAGTATAAAACTTAAACATGGTCAAGACCATCAGGCCATGGTTATTGGCTGGGATCACCTTAGGGAGCTTTTAAAAACCCCCATCCCCAGGCCCACACTCCAAACCAACACCACCTAAATCTCTGGCATTGGTACATTTTTAAATTCCAGACAATTCAAGTGTGTAGCTGAGAGCGACATCTAGTGGTGTGAAGCACCTGCCTGACAATAAGTGCTCGCATACATAAAAGTGACAATTATTAAAACGAGGCTCTTGTCCTTGAAGAAATCACATTCTAGGAGTGATGGATTGGAAGCCTGGAAATTGTTAGTACTCTAATGTTTATGGTCATGGGCTTCCTAGAGGATTACCTAGGTCTGAGCCCTTCCTAGAGGATTACCTAGGTATGGCCCAGGATGACCTAGCACCTGTGTCCCCTGGGGTGTGAGTCAATGTTCCTAGGACCCAGCATGCGTGGAAAGGCTGGTCTAGTGAGTGCCCCAGAGTAGAGTGAGGAGTGCTTACTGCTTTAAACGCATATGAAGCAGGCACTGAGTCAGATCAGAAGTCACAGGCAATACCAGCCTGAAACACAATTTGTGTGTATGGTATTTCTTAGAGATGTCCTTACTTGCCAGTGTATAATAAAAACAAGTAATTCCTCACTAAATTGTGGATTTCCAACATTTTCTGGAAAAAGAGAGAGAGAGAGAGAGAGAATCTGGACACATCAGCCTGCAATCCTGCAGACAACATTCCATTGAAGCTGAATGGTCATTGACCCCTTACATGGGACCTGAGCTCAGCAGTCTCCAGAGCCCCTGCATTTGCATCTCTCATTTCTGTTGTAGCCAGGTCTCTGTGTGGTTTCAACCCAAATGTAGTCTTGGCATCTGGTTTTATGTATTTTTTTTAAAGATTTTTATTTATTCATGAGAGACACAGAGAGAGAGGCAGAGACATAGGCAGAGGCAGAAGCAGGCTCCATGCAGGGAGCTCAGTGTGGGACTCAATCCCCAGACCTGGGATCAGGCCCTGAGCTGAAGGCAGACGCTCAACCACTGAGCCACCCAGGTGTCCCTGGACATCTGGTTTTAAATCATGGCTGTGCTTGTGATTAAAGGGTCATTTTCAAAAAGAAGGTAAAATCATAGCTCTCATACAGACAGAAAACGAGCACACGGGAGAGATTTTATTTAGTTTTTTCAGTGAGGGATACAGATGCTACAACCAGTGCAAAGGGAAGTCTAAAGAACAAACGCATTTGTAGATCAGGAATACTGAGATAAATGCACAAATGGAGGCAAAACTGCCTCTTCCATGGTAGGTGAGAGAAGTTAATTTAACCTCCACAGAACTAGCATTTACAAGTCCAGAAGATGATTTTCCACTGGCATGAGTTATTTTCAGAGGCAATGACAGGGACAGAGCACCCCCCCCCCCCGCCCCCATAGAATCACAAGCCGATATTGGA